GCACGTGGATTTACCCTCAGGTTATTATTGTCTGGAGTTCACATTTTGGGGCATTTCATATACTAATTGAACAGAGTTCACCTGCACATGTCCACTTTAGTGATACAGACTGTAACCAAAAATGCAATGAGCCGTAGCTCTTAATCCCTTATAACAACGGTAACAACAACCAGAGTGAGGACACAGTAAGGTTAAACCGTGTCCAACAGACAATCTGAGGTGGCTATCTCCCATCAAGTCAGCTCTGTTTTTAAGCGCATAGTTATGTTTTTACATATTGAAATAAAAGGAATTTAAAAAATTAAATTTAACAAACCTACACATTACCAAATACAAAACTTTATAACCCTCTCTAGACTTCGTTCCAATTAACCTAGATCATTCAACTCGCTCGCGAAGGTCGTATGCGACTTTAAAGTGAATACGTCTACAGTGTACAAGTAACTTTTAACTGTATCATATATACTCATGATAAGCAATTATTTTCGTTCCTAATTCGAATGAGCACATTCTGATGCTAAATCTGCAAAAGGACAGATAAAATATTTCTTTGTACAATGCAAACGATACAAACGTAGCGGCTGATAATAGAGACAATGATTTAATAATCTGCAATATATCAAGTGTTCTCGTTCAATCTATTGTACATATTGAAGTGATTGTAAAGTTTCAAGGAGTACTAAAATGTTGTGGTATTATGAATGTATTTAGAATATGAATAGCGAAAAACAGTCACCATATCGGATGTACATGTATAACTTGTCTTCCAACACCACGCTTGTGCCGAGGCCCATGGTCATAAAACTAATCGGTCCCATAAAAGGAGCAAATAGTTTCGCAGATACTTCTTGCTATGGTTCACTCACAATTGTCAGACGACCTAATCATCAGTCAGACCAGTCAAGTGTGACCAGCGTACCTGCCTGGTTTTGGCTCCTAATTACTGAACTGCCCAATACTGTCATACTGTGGGCAGAGTAAGCGGCCTCGTTGAGTGATACAGACTAACCAGATTATGATTGTGTTTGTAAGTTGCGTTTAATCTGTGTCGGGTTGCAGTTGTTTTATTAGTCAAGACTAGGGGTAGTTTTTTCAATGAAACCTTTTAGCCGTTGAGTTTGTTTTGCATTCATTTCATTAAATACATTGTTAGGTAGAATAATAACACGTTATATGGATTAAACATCTCCCTAATCTGAGTATAATCTCACATGTACTCTAAGTACCGTACTATATTACTTTGCGGAGACACTGAGTATATTTTTTTAGTTGGCATTGTATGCTGTCTGATGACTTTACACAAATCCCTGCATTCAATAAACCCGTGAAGATCTTCAACAAACCATTCTTGACGTAAAAGGGCGACAGCGCTTGTCGTAAGAAGCGACTACCGGGATCGGGTGGTCAGGCTCGCTGACTTGGTTGATGCATGTCATCGTATCCCAATTGCGTGGATCGATGCGCATGATGTCAATCACTGGATTGTCTGGTCCAGACTCGATTATTTACAGACCGCCGTCATACAGCTGAAATATTGCTAAGTGTGGCGTTATACAACTAACAAACAAACAAAACACAATAAGAGAAAGTGTATGAGTACTAAAACTTGCAATAGATATGCGTACCCTACGTACACACATGAGTCCCATTCGACAGTCTACAACACACGAATAACTTTCAAACAAGTTTGGGTACCCCTTCTGTTCAGGCAAGTAATTTAGTTCGATAATTTTGTATTAAAATCCTTTTCAATTTGTTTTCATCCTTTTTCCCTATTCCACGCATGTTTATGTTGCTACATCTTATTGCTCATGTTTCCAAGTATTGTAAAACACTCTAATGTTTCTCCTTCTTAATCTAACGTTATAACATTTCCGGTCATTGCCATCATCTAATACACAAGAGATTATACCAAGACATATTTTATTCGGTTTTATGGTCTATGCGGTCTTACAATTGATTTTATTAGTCTTTAAATCTTATGTCTAGTAAATATTTTCACAAACAGGGCTGTTAACTGATATAAGGAATGTGACATCCAGTTGAGGACTGAATACGACGTACGTTAGTCTGGTAACGACATTTCTACAATAATTTTTTGAATAAACCGTTAATACGCCAGTTGTGACAGGGATGATGGTATGGTAGATGTAGCAGACATATTGACAGCCGTTGTTACGCGAGTCACTAGGTTATTAGTACGCATTGGCCTTGTTGATTGGTACTATACTTTCTGTGGCCACTGGCGGACGTAATTCAAACTCCTTCCAAACTGACATCGCACCAAATATATTTGTGTATCGATTACATAACTCTTACTGACAGGGTAGGGTGGTAGTTCACGCGAAACGGACGACACTGTGTATATTGAGCGGCTCCTTAGATATCGCCTCACAACATACTTTAAATGAATGACCAATTAAACGATGATACACATCAGGATCGCGGAGAAAATACAAGCCTTGTTCGCGTTGAATATATATATCAAGGCACAAATTCATCTTTCATGAACTTTTTGTGACTTGGTGCTTAATATATCCACATATCAACGAAAATGTGTAATACATGTATCCACAAAAATATACATGTACAGGCTAGGTATTTGCCCACAGCAACACCTGCATAACTGTTTATTCACGCGTGGTGTGGCAGATTGTAATTGACCGACAACAAGTATTGTAGAATCACCTGTAAATAAGGCCGACACTGTAATTAGACACAACGTACTAATGAGAATATGAGAATTATCATAAGAAGGCTGTTACGTTTTTCTTAACTATTACCATTTTCAAACCAAAAGTGACAATGCAGTTAAAAGTTGCTTTAGTGTCACAATATTCACTCCCGTTTTCCTCAACCGCATTGAAACATAATTCCTACTGGTCAGTTCGACACTGCTTGTAATTAAATAATTATTTCGAGATTTCATTCGAATGTAAGATATTCAGCCAAACGTTATGCAATAAAAGACGAATAGTTTCTTTCCATTAAAATACGCCGGGCGTACCTGTCACGTAATTGCACAGTGGGATGTATCAACGGTTCATAAAATGGGAAATGAAATAGAAACTAACTAAAATTTAATGTTGTACACGCACATGAATTCGTATGATAAACTGCCAAAACGTTTTGAGAGATAAGGCCGGGTTCATTAAAGATGTTGGGTGCGGTTAGGACCAAACTTTTTCAGCTCACAGTGTTAGTGGTCCTGGAACCCATAGTGTCAAACAGGTTCTGCACAATACGTCCATCAGATTCTACTGTTCAGCAACATTGTCACTGAATTTCAGAACTCTGGCATGATAGAATAATCAAGGATTTCGAAGGCAAAACCTTTTCTCGCCCATGGGCGAAATATTTCAATAAATCTGTAAATGAGTTAAGTTTTGTGTCATGATACTTAAATAAATACATTTAATGTATTTGCGAAACTAAAACATGAGTTTTGAGTAAAGGAACATATTCTCGCCCATGGGCCTGCCCATGGGCCTACCCATGGGCCAAACCTTTTTCTCGCCCATGGGCAAAATATTTCAATATCGCTATAAAATAGTTGAATTAAGTTAAAATGAGTTAAATTTTGTGTCATGATACTTCAATAAATACATTTAATGTATTTGCGAAACAAAATCATGAGTTTTAAGTAAAGGAACATATTCTCGCCCATGGGCCAAACCGTTTTCTCGCCCATGGGCGAAATATTTCAATATCGCTATAAAATCGTTGAATTAAGTTAAAATGAGTTAAATTTTGTGTCATGATACTTGAATGAATACATTAAATGTATTTGCGAAACAAAAGCATGAGTTTTAAGTAAAGGAACATATTCTCGCCCATGGGCCTGCCCATGGGCCTACCCATGGGCCAGACTTCGCCCATGGGCAGGCCCATGGGCGACATAGTCTAAATATTGAGTTTTTAGACAATTTTTTTTTCATTTTTTCTTCCTTGGTATGTTCCCATGAAAACGGCATGTTTAATTTTGTAAATACCTTTAACCGAGACTGGGCAAAGACCGTAGAGTTTCTGGACTTTTGGGTTTCCAGAATTAAAATGGGACGTGTTAGTATAAATTAAGTCAATATGCAGATGATACATAGTTATTTTTAGATGGATCTGAAGAGTGCCTTAGAACTGCAATTGATACTTTAAATATATTTTATAGAATATCTGGTCTTAAGGTAAATATTGACAAAACTAAAGCTATATGGAAAGGTTCAATGACAGGAAGCAGCATCAAAGTCTGTGAAGACATAATACTAGACTGGCTTAATTCCGGATTACATGATCTATGGGTAATAAATACAAGAAATAGACTCGTACATATTCATAGATTATTGGAAAGCTGGAAAAAACCCATCTAACATTGATAGGGGGACACTCACTATGGCGCCTCCTTTGTCGGCTTCTTCTGGCACGCCAGAAACCTATGATTGTGGGTTCGAATCCCGGTTCGCCACAATAATGTTTCTAGATTTGTCAGCACAATACCTGTGCTCGTGGGTTTCACCGAAGTGGTAAACAGCTGAGACCTGCATCACTTCGGGCTTTCCTCCCACATTAAGCTGACACGCCGTGATATAACTGAAATACTGTTAAAAGGCAGCGTAAACCCAGCTCACTCACTCACAACTCTTGCTTGCCGCATCTCATAAGCTTCGATCGACGCTCATGATATCAATCACTGGATTGTCTGGTCCAGACTTTTTTCAGATCGCCGTCACATGGATTATTGCTTCATGCAGGGTTTAAACAAACACATAACAATAACAAACAAAGGAACAAAAAAAACAAGCGAGGAACGCCGTCCAAAGTTTATTTGAGACGGCAATTGCTTATGTTGGCTTTCATAACAACGATAAATGTGGTCAGTGGTTAGTCCTAGTCAGCTGGGTTTTCATGCCGCTTTGTACTGTACTTCATTTAAATGACCCTCCTGATTATTCCATCATATTTAGTCGGAACAGTGTATGGCTGACCTATTCTGAAATGTAAACTGATGTAGTTAACTGCACGAGGGGCGGATGACGCTTGTTAACCTTTGCATGAAGTGACAGGATAACATGTATGGGAGGTTCTGTTACATCTAGCACATCGACTGCATTCTGTCAGGATGAAGTTTGCGATATATGTTGTGTCTGTCCTCCTCTCATCTGGTAGGTAACCATTATATTGTAGCATATGTTCATATGTATACATTGTAGTTAGAACAAAACAACGCACAAAGTTGCAGAACTTAATTATGCCATTATGATTTGAATTCCATATTTGTCCGAATTATAATCCTTACCACGTTACGTGAAGATTTATAACAGAAAACTGTTCAAAGCGGCGTTTTACCTCAGTCACATGCAGTGATTGCGGCGCTACGTCAGCTGTAAGAAAATTGACGCTTGTTGGCATATGTCTGGGGATCGGGTTTAATAATTTACAGACCGCCGTCATATAGCTGTAATATTGCTGAGTGCGGCGTTAAACAACAAACAAACAATCTTTTGTGCGGCGCAAGGCTAAATTTTCTTACCATTTAATGAAAATCATGTGAATGGCGAACACATGGTGCCATCACTAGTTTTCAGTGGTTCGTTTATAAAATTTGTCCTTTGTTTTCTTGCATTGATGTTTTATAAAAAAAGGTACCATGAGCAAATGATTTAGTTACGTACGATATCATTGTTTTAACTATATCGTCAAAGCATTGTTGAAGACCACTGCTGCTATAATTACCTCGTTGAAGAATATATCCTTGTCTGTGTGGCCATTCCAGTGACTGGCCTTGCGTGGCTTACAAGAAGAGAGAGTGACCCAGGACCAGACCTTAGTTGCCTTAGCACTACGTGTGAGAACGTATATGCACCTGTCTTCAGGATCATGAGCAGACCAACGTTTAGCTATCTTATCGAAGATGGCAGACTGAGTCTTGACTGCAGGTTAGTATCACCATTCGTTAACCAAATCTTTGAAGACAAGTTTGTTTTTTTTGTTTGCTGTTTAACGCCGCACTCAGCAATATTCCAGCTATATGACGGCGGTATTTAAATAATCGAGTCTGGAGCATCCATTGCTTAACGTCATGAGCATCGATCCACGCAATCGGGATCGATGACATGCATCAACAAAGTCAGCGAGCCTGACCAACCGATCTCGTTAGTCGCCTCTTACGAAAAGACCTATTCTACCCCGGATCTTCAGCGGTCCTATGCGCTCAGGTCACATCTCCTCACTCTTCGATAAAACTCAGTGGATCGATGCACATGATGTCAATCACTGGACTGCCTGGTCCAGACTCGATTATTTTTATAGAGCGCCGTCATATAGCTGGAATATTGCTGAGTCCGGCGTTAAACAACAAACAAACAATTCAACCAGGGGACAATGTCAGCAGCATCCTTTGTCAACGTCAGAAATGTCAACGTCCACCACAGCACCATTTGCGGCCTTTGTGGCCGATACACACAGTTCAATTCCACTGCAGACCGTCCGAGAACCGGCCGACCAAGAGCTACCACCCCTGCACAGGATCGCTACATTCGACTGTTCCACCTACGTCATCACAGGGATACAGCTACAGAGACTGCAGTACGCATCCCTGGTTTGAGGAGGATATCGGACCAGACTGTCAGAAACCATCTTCGCGAAGACGGAATCCTACCCAGAAGACCAGTTATCGTCCCTGTTTTGCAACAGATCCATCAACAGCGACGCCTGCGTTGGTGCCATGCCTTACAGCCTTGGAAATTGAGAAACTGGAGACGAGTGTGGTTTTGCGATAAGTCACAATTACTTCTTCACCGGCGAGATGGAAGATGTTTATCGTCGTCGAAATGAGCGTTTTGCCCCACATTGTGTAGGTGAATTCAACAAATTCAGTGGCGGTTGTGTCATGGTGTGGGCCATATCCTACACTACGATCTCAACCCAATCGAACACCTCTTGGATGAACTTGATCGACGTGTACGTCAACGTCAGAACACGCCGCAGACACTCCCACAACTGGTCAAGGCGTTACAAGCAGAATGGCGTAGAATTCCGCAGGACAGAACTTGTACAATTATCCAGTCACTGCCGAAAAGATGCAGAACCCCGATTGCTGCCCGGGGTGGTCAGCACAACCTTGTGGCTTTATGTGACATGACAATGAACAGTTTTCAATGCCCTTGTGCAACAATATGTGACTATCGAGTCCCAGAATTTTATATTTGTATCTGTGATATTAAATTAAATATATCGACTTTATTAGGTACAATAATTTTACTAAAAATTTACCTGTGCGTTTTGGTTTTTTTGAAGAGCGTACATCTTAACTATCTCCTGTCAAATATTGGGGCGGTCGGGTAGCCTAGTGGTTAAAGCGTTCGCTCATCACGAAGAAGACCCGGGTTCGATTCCCGACATGGGTACAATGTGTGAAGCCCATTTCTGGTGTCCCCCGCCGTGATATTGCTAGAATATTGCAAAAAGCGGCGTAAAACCATACTCACTCACTCACTCCTGTCAACTATTGGTATTTGAACTTGTCACCTTTGTACTGCCACAGGGACAATATAAATGCATTGACAAATCGTTCAATAGTTACACTCATAATTGTAAGCACACAACCCCATCCGACCCGTGAATAGGGTTAGGATAGGTCTTCAGCAACCTACGCTTGTCGTAAGAGGCGACTAACGGTATCGGGTGTTCACACTCGCTGACTTGGTTCATGCATGTGATCGTATGCAAAATGAGTGGATCGATGCTCATGAAGTCAATGACTGGGTTGTCTGGTCCAGACTCGATTATTTACAGACCGACGTCATATAGCTGGAATATTGCTGAGTGCGGCGTTAAACAACAAATAAGCAAATTTACAACCCCATCCGTATTTACTTATATTAACTATGCGTGATTGATACAGCAGTTAGTATCTGCACCAAACCATTGCATCATTAATAATAAAGAAGGTGGCATACAAACAAATTAAATGAGATACCAACAAAATGCCAACGGCTGCTATCAAGTTGATCAAATTTACATATACTGAATATTAGGCACACCGTTTGAATATGAGGCAAAAAAACTTGTAAGGTGTAATATATGTTCTCTTTGCAGCCAACAGACAAGGACTATCGCAGATGAATGTCAAAGCTCTTCAGTGGACTGTTTCGCGAGTATTTTGCTGCCGGACCTAGCCATTGCCCTCAATCTGTTCTGTCTCCACCAAACAGGTATTCCAAATCCATCTTTTTTGGAGCAGTTTCATTTGAACTCTTGGGTCATATGCCACCTTGAGTGACGTGTTTATTCCTAAAATATATACCCCTTCGGACCCAGGGTAGATACGAATATATCCTCAACACCCCAACGCTGGTCGTAAAAGGCGACATGATTGGGCAACCTGTTGGGCTGCGTCCCTGTGTCGGCAGAGAAAGAGATTCTGGTGGTTGGGTGCACCGGGGCCGGCAATAGAGCTCCTTAGTCAACCACACCACATCGACCCTAACTTTGCCTCGACGGGCGGTAGAATGGGCCCGTTTCTATCAATAGGCTGATCATGTCACGCCCTGTGCATAAACTATTTCGTAAAGTCGTTTGGTATTTCAAAATAAATTTATTCAAAATGTCCATTACATATGTCTCAACTTATAAAACCTGCTTAGAGCCCTATGCCCACAAGGAGGTGGTTCCTGGGCCAATCTGATGTTCAAGTATGTTTGTGAATAAATATTTGCTTGTTTTTAGTTTTGGTGTGAAACTATTATCAACTGACATTATTGAAGGTTCATCCAGGAGGTTAAAGTAACGTAAAATAGCTTTCCTCCTGTGTGACTCGTTATTCCTATCATAATCGATGTAACTATCATCAACCAGTGTTTTTAAGCCGACTCATTGTTGCCAACTCGATATTGTGCGCAACCACCAGTAACTAAAGTGATGACGTTAATCCTGCTGGGATGTCGTGCAGGAAGCTGAGGTACCGTTAGTCCCCACGGTCCCCAGGGAGATGGCCCAAGTTTGGTTATTGATGGCCTATAGCCCATGTTTTAAACTGTATGATTAATTTCGTCATGCCCAAATGTGTTTGATAATATCGTTTATAGATATGACTTTGCACAAATAACTCCCTTTTTATATAAACTTGGTCTCGTCGCTATATGGCTGAAATAATGCCGATGGGACATTATTTTTTACTCAGTCACTCATTCACCCCTAAGATATATGAAATTGACAGAGATATCTACGATTTACTTTGGCAAATGTTTATAACAAAACCACACATTCATAAATAACTATCAGATGTTATGTGTTTCTTTCACAGAAATCGAGGAAGAGGCGTCATGTTGGACCAGTGATAACTTGCCAGGGGCTGTTGTTTCATGTCGATATGAAAACAGGTAGGGTGACGGTACAAGTTTCCATTCACATCTACTGAATAGAGGTTTGTTTGTTTAACACAATGACCCAAGTACATGACGGCGGTCTGTAAATATTGACAAATTACGACAAACATGGGTTGCTGAAGACCAGCTCTGACCCAGATCTTCACAGGTCCTGAATAAAGGCCTCAAGATAATTTACACGGGTAGGTGAATCAAAACTTGTGTAGAGGCCTGTATAGATCCGGGGTAGAATAGGTCTTCAGCAACCCATGCTAGCCGTAACAGGCGACTATGCTTGTCGTAAAAGGCGACTCACGGGACCGGGTGGTCAGACTCGCTGACTTGGTTGATGCATGTCATCGATCCCAATTGCGTAGATTGATGCTCATAATATTATGGTCCAGACTAGATTATTTACAGACCGCCGTCATATAGCTGGAACATTGCCGAAAGCGGCGTTAAACAACGAATAAACAAACAAACAAAAACTTGTGTAGATCTCGATTTCTGTAGACAAACCATATGGATAGATATGCAATGTATTCTTCAAAAGGCCCAATGATAAGAGGAGAGATCAGGTTTAACTTTGCCTGAGAATGATTTCACTTACAGCAAGCTCTTACGGTAAAAGGATGGTGGAAATTGACATTACATTCCCGTACTGACAATCAGATTTTCACTCCTTTCATAGCGACAAAAATAAAATAAGTACATGTCTGTGCACAATATCGTCAGATGAGGAATACAGGTAGAGGAAGAATTCACAGATTCAAAGTGACATTTCAATGCCAGCTCAATCTCTTTAAAATCTTATCTCAGTTTTCGCTACCGCTTAGCAAAGATCTGAGGACACCCCATAACGGGTCACGTCAGAACGACCTCTAGCGAACTTTGACCGATCAATGAAATGACTTACAAGAAATTGACATTAGCCAATCAGAAGGCACATTCTATCGACATTAGCCAATCAGAAGGCACATTCTATCGACATTAGCCAATCAGAAGGCACATTCTATCGACATTAGCCAATCAGAAGGCACATTCTCGAGCTTCACAACACTAGTTTCAAATTGGCGACTACGCTTCGAAACATATTTTGACGTATTCTCGGTTAAACAGTTTAAAACCGATACAAGGAACATTCTGGAATGGCTTACAGATGGCCTAGATTGTATGGATATTATCATAAAACCCGTAACTGTCGTTCGGAATACCCTCTGTTGAATTTTTCGTGGTTGCATCATCAGAAAACACATTCCATCTGTCACTTTCATGATCTGGTAAGCGATGCTCTGCTTGGTTGGATGAAAGGTCGTTCTGACGTGACCCGTAATGGGATGTCCTCAGATATTTGTTCAGCGATAGCGAGAACTAAGATCTGGTTTTAATGAGATTGGTGCCAGCTGTATTGACCGGAGGTACCGGAAATGTAGAAGAAAATTATTCTGTGTGACTTTACCTCGAAGTTCATCACAACGTAACATTCCAATTCATTCTGATTGGTATGTGACCAGCGTCGATAAACTGCCCAAAGAAGGCAACATTATACCTATATGTGATACATATATTGACATATAGCCTCTGGAGTTATTCAGTATTATTCATAAAATGTCATACATGGATTACAAACAATCATTTGTAAACGGAATATACTCTGCTTTCACAACTGATGCACGTAAAATCACTGTCTCAGGAAACACGTCTGGTGTCGATTACAAGTTTCAGTGCCCGTGTGATAACGCGTAAATCTGAATTGTCCCTCCAATGTTCGGAATTAGAGAATAAAACATTCAACAGCTGGGGTATTGCTTAGTGAAACAATTATAATTACATAAATAAATAGGCCCGTGAAGATCCGGGGTAGAATAGGTCTTCAGGAACCCATGCTTGTTGTAAAAGGCAACTATGCTTGTTGTAAAAGGCGACTAACGGCATCGGGTGGTCAGGCTCGCTGATTTGGTTGATGGATGTCATCGATCCCAATTGCGTGGATCGATGCTCATGATATTAATCACTGAATTGTCTGGTCCCAACTCGATTATTTACAGACCGCCGTCATATAGCTGGAATATTGTGGCATTAAACAACCAATAAAACAAAACAATAAAAAAATAAAAAAATAAAAACGTTTACTAAATATCTATTTTTGCTTTCAGAGTTGCCTTTGTCGAGTGTGTTTACCACAGAGTAAGCAGTCTCACCGAGTGCACTGAAACTACTGGCGCCATCTTCAGACAGTTGCTGTTGGCTTTTGGACCTTAGACGTATCCATGCATACAGAAACATGAACAAAACTGGACAAAAACAACATGTCATGTTTGCCAATAAACTGGTTTGCATTAAGACGATCGTTTCTTTTGTTTCGAAAAGGATGATGTTGCCATGGTTTCCGGGTTGATTTTTATCAATGAGAGAGAAGATGTGACATGGGTGCATAGTATGAAATATATCCTCTAATGCTTGAGGGATCATGATTACTCGAACAAAGTACAGCAAGTTGAAATATCAAAAATAAACCCTTTGTCACGAGATAAATCTTGAAATTATTGCGTCAACAAATTGATGTTTATGTAGTCTCCTTGTCTCAGTGCGTCATGAAATATCTATTTGATGCCCTAATCCTCAAATTCAGAAAAACCCTCCTTCAACAAGTGACAAATTAATGACGTCACTCTCAGAAAAAAGGGTCCATTCTTTTAACGTTTCGTAATACCTTTCATCCGACATATATCGCACCATGAAAGTTTGAAATACGTTTTTGATTACTGTAAATCGTGAAATTAATGCGTCTCCAAAAGAATGCGACCACTGGACCCTAGCCAAAAATGCGGCTTAATTTAATTCACGCTCGCGATAATTTCAAGATTTATAGTATTGTTTTTTCTACATGTTACCACAGGAAGATACCGGCGGCGCAATGACCTTTTTGCAAACACCTGGTGTCAACACAGATTTTCAATGGTTTGGGATGTAAAGGCAAAATAATGATGAAACATATGAATGGATCACTGACTGGTGTTTGGAGTGAAAGACTTGAGGGGCTCGGCCTTTATTTGATCTATAATTATGCCTAATGTGTCACCTGCATTCGATCACTGAATTTTATTAAATTGGCTAAAAATAGTCATGGAAAATTAATTATCATGAACCGTTTACTGAGAATCAGCGATGACACCGGGTGTTTGCAAAAAGTGGATTGCTTTGAAAAGTGTTCTGTCGCTTCTATTTAACCTGTGCCAGTCGTTACAGTGAGTGAGTGAGTTGGGTTTAACGCCGCTTTTAACAGTATTCCAGTTATATCGCGGCGCGTCAGCTTAATGTGGGAGGAAAGCCCGAAGTGATGCAGGTCTTAGACGTTTAACACTTCGGTGAAACCCACGAGCACGGGTATGGTGCTGACAAACCTAGAAACATTATTGTGGCGAACCGGGATTCGAACCCACAATCATAGGTTTCTGGCGTGCCAAAAGGACGTAACTCTGCACGGCGAATTTCGGCGCCTTAGACGACTGGGCCACCCGTGGCCCCCTGTTACATCAACTAGTGACTTATTATTGGGTTTGACACTGTCAGGTAACCTTTTGGTTTAAAGCGTTGCTCGTCACGCCGAAGACCCGGGATGAAACCCGACATGGGTACAATGTGTAAAGCCCATTTCTGGTGTCCCCCGCCGTGATAATGCTTGAATAGTGTTAAATGTGACGTAAAACCAAACTCACTCACTTAAGTATTATATAAAGGTGATGCTTTCCAAATTGAAATTTGGACGACTGGGCCCCCCGGGCCCCCTAAGTGAGTGATGGAAATGAGATGATCAACCATAACCAGATGAGACAAAAAGGGGAAAACGTTAACATTGTCAACACACAACATATGTATGTATTATATTTCTAAATTAAATGCAATAAAACTAACTATCGGTTACACCTACTTGGGGTGTCAGTCCAGATTTAAAAAGGTCATTATGCGACGATGTCGTATTGGACATTCTCTTTATACACATAAATATTTACTGAAAGGTGAAGATCCTCCATTCTGTGTCCCTTGTGATGAAAGAATCACGGTCAAGCATGTCATATTTGACTATTGATTTTTCCATCACGAGGAATAATTATTTCCAGGTTTCTCCCATAAAGGATCTTTTTCCTGTAAGTTCTGGTTAATTCTTGGGTTTTTAAAAAAAAATACAGTTAATTGATAAATTTTAATTATATTTCTTGTAAAAAAGGTGTGATTTTAATTTGATAGAATGAAATAATAACTGAGATTGTCAGTGGCTGTACCTTCAAAGTGATTGAAGTAACGTAAAATAATTGACCCCTGTCCCCGTAAGTCCAATTTCTTTCAAAATATTTAAAAGGTTTTAATCGTATAATAAATGCAGGTTTTAAATGTTTTTGGCTTACACTTTCTAACAATCACCAGTGGCCAGAGATGGTGTAAATTCTGCTAGGGTACCACGCAGGAAGCAGATGTACCGTAAGTCCCCATGGTCCCTTATAAGGTGGTCTGACTTTGGTTTCTGGTGATCCATAGCCCACTTTCACAATGTATCGTTATTAATAGTCATATTTGTATGGTTTACATACTTGTTTTAAATCTATGCCTGTGATACTCTAGTGCTTTTACTGTCTTTTGTCGACAGATTTTATAGTCTATAATTATGTATTATTACTGTACAACTTGATTTAGTCACGATATGGCTGAAATATTGCTGATGTGACTATAAATCTTAACTCACTCACTCTATATATATCATATTTTTCCGATGCAGTCACAAAGCCTACTAATATTGCCCAGTGAACTGAATTAAAAGTGTAATCACAAGAAATGATCTGTCTTTCTCAAGTTCTGCACTTCTTAAATTCAGTCTGATATAATCGTGGCCTGGACATTCCATTAAATAATGTTTCACGGTCGATCTCGGTAGTATTTTCATTACAGTGAGTACGTGCGGGGGGGGGGGGGGGGGGGGGGGGGCTCATTATCAATGACACTGCTGTAAGAATTTAATCCACAGTGCCCAAGGCGAAGTCTAGTAATTATGACCCTCTCACGTTTCTTTCGTCCACAAATTGTCCTATGTGTTTTTATTTTCCAGGACAAACTGTGTTCATGTGTGGGCCAGTAGTCCCAGCATCCCACAACTTGTCAGCTTGCGGTGAAAGATTTCGCTAAAATGGAGTCGAAATCATTTGGTTGGGTTCTGAATTCAGATATTTTTATGTCAGGATTTTGCAAGTCAGATTTCGCAAGTTTGTCTGCTATCTCATTTCCATGCAGTCCAACATGAGCTGGAATCCACACACTATCACATGTAATACAGTGTGAGTTGAAAAATGTATCCAGCTTAAATATTTCATAAACAATTTCACTTCGTGAACCATTGACACCAGATTCAATTGTGTCAATAGCTGCCATGGGCTTAGTTAATAAATATGCCGCATGGTCATATTTATTACCCCACCTTAGACTTGAGAAATAGTTATACGTGCAGCAGCAAATACTGAGAGATGGTCATTGTGCCTGAACATACTTGAGATGTTATCAATATGCCTCAGCATTTCGATACCATGGCCGAACTGTTTGGGGCATCCTTCAAGATGTGGCTGAAATTGTCATCATATTCAGTTAGAAAGGCCTAGAAACATTTCCACGCATTCAGCCTGAACTGAACTGAAACAGGGATAGCTGCAAGGGCCATCCTTCAAATTCGCAAAACCTCTTGACTGTATTCGGTCAAATTTGGAAAGATGACATTATTAGGCAGACATCATTACCTGGCAGTCATATTCAAGCCTTTATTTATATTATTGCTTTATTTTTTGTTTGCGTTTAATGCCGCACTCAACAATATTCCAGCTATATGACGGCGGTCTGTAAATAATCGAGTCTGGACCAGACAATCCAGTGATTGAAATCATGAGCATCGAACCACGCATCGATCCACAAGCCTGACCACCCGATCTCGTTAGTCGCCTTTTAAAGACATTGAATAACATTGAGGACTTATCAGCACCCACTACGTTTGGCAGTGTACTTCAATAGATTTATAAGTTTATTATATTTGTTAACAACATGAGATATGTGAGAACTCCATTGTAGTCTCTGATCAAAATAAACTCCAAGACATTTCAACTCTTGACAATGTCTATGTTGTGGTCACTAAGGGCAAGCTCCATATTTGTAGGAACTTTTGTTCTGCTTGTCTTCATTTGGACAGAGAAACACCCTACTTAGAACACCACACACCAATATGTCTAATAGTAAGCATTTCTGAATCGATTCGTTTACAAGCTTGATATAAGTATAATGACCTTTAATTGACCTATAATCATATCCATGTGGACGACAACCTACTGTAGTAAATATTGTCGTGCTTGTAAACTGACGATCAAAAACAAGTTTACAAATTATTTTATTTATTCATGAATATAAACAATTTACCCCAAGTATTGTTCAACTATACATAACGCATTAATAACCATCGCTAATTACTCTTCTGTGTCCATGGCTGCCGAGTAAGTTTGCTTGCTTGTTTGTCGTTTTACGCCGCACTCAGCATTATTCCAGGTTTATGACGGCGGTCAGTAAATAATCGAGTCTGGACCAGACAATCCAGTGATTAATATCATGAGCATCGATCCAGGCAATTGGGATTCGATGACACGCAGCTAGCCTGACCACCCGATCCCGTTAGTCGCCTCTTACGACAAGCATGGGTTGCTGAAGACCTATTCTACCCCGGATCTTCACGGGACGTCAGAGTAAGCCAGCGTAAATGTTTACAGTGACAGCGTTATTTGGAAACACAGAGAACAATCCCGAACTGTACATGTAGTTATGTTCAACACTAAGCTGGTGACTTACTGGTGTAAATGATCCTACTGGCACAACAATTACCAACTAAAACACCGTAACGTGTGGTGTACAACGCCAATTTTGGGGACGCAGTGTTTAGTTCATGTTCTACTTAATTGTACGTGACAAAGCACTTGTGCAGTGTGCCAATCTGATAATAATCCGATATTGAACATATTCAATTCTTATGGATCATCGAAAACCTTGGTTATATGCATCAATGTGTAAGCTATCGATAGATCGATGTTTTAATAAGTTTGTGTGTGTAAAGGGATCCGAATGGAACTAGGGGCGTGATTTTTAATCTTGTTTTGATCAATAAGATTCAAACATTCTTCAAAGTCATGGCAGAATGTACGATTTCGAAAACATCATAACCATGTGTTTATGAATCGCTGTCAAATAGTGATGCCCTGCCCTACTGGTGACACCCATCACAAACACATGCAAAGGAAAGTCAATCGTTCATCTGAAAAAAACATGGGAACATATGGTACAAGTCCAAATAGGGAATTGCATCTTACATTATTATTCTCACCGAGGTGCTTAATTTATAAATATTCTCTACATTAAACTATTCCAAGATTTACTGAGGCCTTGAAAGTTGCAACTTTGATCAACCAACTTTTGAGCAAGAGTCATGTGACGCTCTTTTGTACCTCAAATCTGTGAAATGTAGATACCAAAGCAGTGGTTATGGCTACGATTGCTACAATGCTTTGATGTATATCATGGTTGGTTGGTTGGTTTGTTGTTTAACGCCTCACTCAGCAATATTCCAGCTATATGACGGTGGTCTGTAATTAATCGTGCCTGGACCAAACAATCCAGTGATTGACATCATGAGCATCGATCCACGCAGTTTGGATCGATGACATGCATCAACCAAGTCAGCGAGCCTGACCACCCGATCCCGTTAGTCGCCTTTTACGACAAGCATAGTCACCTTTTACGGCAAGCATGGGTTGCTGAAGACCTATTCTACCCCGGAATCTTCACGGGTCGTATATGATGGACTTGCTGATTAATACAGAAGGTATATGATGGACCTTCTGATTAATTCATTCAATTAATCGCATTTCCACGGCCTATTCACACCAGTGGGGTTGAATAATTAACAGTACAAAACGTCGTTAGCGGCAGGTGAGCTACAAAGCTAATGCCGTACGAGACAAGGCTGTACACAAAAATAAATTCTTACAGGAAAAGAGAATAAGTGGGGACGTTTAAACTGAATGATGCTTGGCTGCCTCTGTCCAAGTTATGCTAATCGAGGAAGTGCATTATACCAGGTGACAAACTTTACACTGACCTTTGCAGGAAGTGGCAGGATGATGTACTCATGTAATGGAAGCAAATGGGATAATTAGTTATTATTTCTGTATTCCATTAAAACATTGGATGTTCTGTGACATCTAGCACATCGACTGCCTGTTGTCAGGATGAAGTTTGTGATATGTGTTGCGGCTGTTCTCCTCTCATCTGGTAGGTAACCATTATACTGCAGCACATTTTCATTTACCATCACTGCGTATTACTGTCTTCAAACAGCAAAAGTTTTAAAGAAGAATGTTGATTAATAAATAGAGATTCTCACCTGAGGGTCGATGAAAACCTCGGTTTTAAAATGTTATCGACTCGTGTAGATATAGTTCATATCAAATGACACTCGGTGTTTGTATTGCTGTTAAACTAAAGACCGTTAGCATACCAGCACACAGTGATGGATAATCCCAGAATCCCAGATTCGTCCTTATGATAACCCCTACCACGTTACGTTACGTCTCCTTCCACGTTACGTCTCCTTCCAAATTAACCGACCGCCTCCGTGGTCTTGTGGTAGAGCGTCCGCCCGGAGAGCGGAAGGTCCAGGGTTCGATCCCGGGCCGCGTCATACAAAAAGACGTTAAAAGATTGTACTCGTTGTTACCCTGTCTGGCGCTCGGCATTAAGGGGCTAAAACAAGGACTGGTCGGCTCGAAGTATACTGTGTCTGAGTGGGGTATTCATGTTAAACTGCGGCATGGTATCTCAGTGAGCTACCACTATAAATCGGCATCAGTCCGGACTAGTACAAGCAGCCACACACACACACATACACGTGCATGCACGTCGCTATATAAGTGCAATAATCTTGGACGCGACGTTAAACCCAACTTCACCTCACCTCACCAAATTAACCCGTGAAGATTCCGGGGTAGAATAGGTCTTCAGCAACCCATGCTTGCCGTAAAAGGCGACTATGCTTGTCGTAAGAGGCGAATAACGGGATCGGGTGGTCAGGCTCGCTGACTTGGTTGATACATGTCATCGATCCAAATTGCGTGGATCGATGCTCATGATATCAATCACTGGGTTGTCTGGTCCAGACTCGATTATTTACAGACCGCCGTCATATAGCTAGAATATAGTGAACGTTTGTGTCTAAAGTATGTATGTGTAGGGCATGTAATGAATTGTAAAACATTATTTTCCGATAGTAAGTAAACTGTTATTTGAACTGACTCAAATACAGCTTTGCTGCTCTTTTATCATTTTCCCTTTGATGCGAGGATACGGCCTTCAGCATTACAAGTGCCTTCTGTTAAAGTATCCTGCCATGGCCAATTGCAATAGATACATACGATGTCAAATGTGTAAGTGCATCGTCAACGTATTGGAAAAGACCATTGCTGCTGTATTACCTCTTTGAAGAACATATCCTTGTCTGTGTGGACATTCCAGTGACTGGTCGAACGTGGCATGCCAAGAGAGAGACTGACCCAGGACCAGCACTTACATGCTATAGCGGGACATGTGAGAACGTAGTTGCACCAGTTCGAAGGATCCTGCAAGGACCAACGTTTAGGTATCTCATCAGAGAGGGCCTTGACTGCAGGTTAGAATCACAATTCGTTAATAAAATCTTCTGAAACAAGTACTTGCTCGGCTACTCATTTTAAAGAAGTAACAGTCTATCTGTGACTGAATATACCCCCCCCCCCCCAACACACACACACACACATACCCCAATATTGAATGACTGAACCCTTTGAAAATGTACCTATGATATTAATGGACATCTATCATTTCCTATCAAGAATATCATTCCGGGGTCTAGTTTTGGTTTGTTTGATTGTTATTTAACGCCGCACTCAGCAGTATTCCAGCCGTGTGACGGCGGTCTGTAAAAATTCGAGTCTGAAGCAGACAATCATTAGCTTCGATCAACGCCTCACCACCCGATCCCGTTAGTTGCATCTTATGACAAGCTTCGGTTGCTGAAGGCCAGTTCGTACCCGGATCTCCACGGGTTCCTAGGTCTAGTCCAGTAGATTCCTGTGAAGATGTTGAGTCACACACCTCGCTTCCAACATGGATATCAGTATTATTTCAGTAATTATGGATATCGTAACTATCCGATAGTCTGGAGTGCTATTGATGTCAACTATTGATATTAGACTTGTCACCTTCGTATAACCATGGGGACTTGAGCAATAGGACCCGTGGAGATTCCGGGTTAGAATAGGTCTTCAGCAACCCATGCTTGCCGTAAAAGGCGACTATGCTTGTCGTAAAAGGCGACTAACGGGATCGCTGACTTGGTTGATGCATGTCATTGATCGCAATTGCGTGGGTCGATGCTCATGATAATAATCACTGGATTGTCTGGTCCAGACTCGGTTATTTACAGACCGCCGTCATATAGCTGGAATATTGCTGAGTGCGGCGTTAAACAACGAGTAACTCGATCACTCGATGAGAACGCTTTAACCACTTGGCTGAGCATGAGCAATAGTAATGGAGTGAAAGTTCGATAAGTTGTTACACTATTAACTTTGGAAACGTACAACCCAGTCCGTATTTGATATTATTTCCATGGTATGATTGATAAAGTAGGATTTGCACCGAACCATCGCAACATTGATGATAACGAAGTTGGCACGCAAAACAAATTAATTTAAATACCAAACAAAATTGCCAACGATTTTTAACAAGTTGATTAAATAGAATAAAAGGCTATACTTGATTATTAATCAGAAGCACTAAATTTAAACTTGTAATGAATTTTATTGTCCCTGCAGCCAACAGACATTGACCATCGCTGGTGAATGCCAAACCTCTTCAGCAGACTGTCGAGTGCGTCACCAAAACCCGGACCTACCCAGTGCCCTCATTACCTTCTGTCGCTACAAAACAGGTATGCACATGTCCATCTTTCTTTGAGCAGGTTCATCAGAACTCTTAGGCCATGTGCCACCTTGGGTGACATGTTGATTCCTAAAAAATACACACCAATGAATATCTATTGAAAGGTGAGGATCCTCCGTTTTGCATCCCTTGTGATGAGAGAATCACGGTCAAGCATGTCCTGCTTGACTGTGTTGATTTTTCCATCACAAGGGATAACTATTTCAAGGTTAAATCTATGAAGGATCTTTTTAACACTATTAGTTCTCATTTAATCCTTGGCTTTTTAAAAGAAATCGAGTTGTTCAAGAAATTTAGTTAATTTGCTTTGTTTATACTAAATGAATTTTAGAATTAGTGGAATAAATAAATATCTGTGATTGATCGTGGCTGTATCCTCAAAGGGGGTTAAAGTAGTTTAAAATTATTGTCCCCCTGAGAGGGTATCGTAAGTCCATATCATCGAAAGTATGTTTTTTCCAACTACAGTTTTAATCGTAGAATATGTGTTCTTTTAATTTGGCTAAATTTGTCAATAATCGCCAACACCTGAAGGGATGATGTAAATCCGGCTGGGGTCCATGCAGGTAGCAAAAGTACTGTAAGTCCCCATGGACCCTAGCATGGTGATCTCCCTTCAGTTGCTGGCGATCTATAGCCCGTTTTTATAATGTAATGTAATGTAATGTATAGTGCTATTGATTTTTTTTATTACATACTAGTTTTAATTTTATTTCTGTGATAAGTCTAGTTATTTTACTGTCCCTCGTTGGCAGGTTTTAATATAAGTTTCAATATATGTATTATATTTAACCATTGATAGTCACGATATGGCTGAAATATTGCCGATGTGACTTAAATTTTTTTAACTCACTCACTCACTCCTAAAAATACATTGACATTGACTGTACTACCAACGATTACTGCGATTTTCTTGGGCAAATATCTTCATAAATATCTATCAGATATTATGTGTTTAGTTTCCAAACTTTCTTGAACAGAAATCGAGGACGAGGCGTCATGTTGGACAAGTGATAACTTGCCGTGGGCTCTTCTTTCATGTGCAGATGAAGACAGGTAGGGTCCATTAGCATCTATTGGATGGAGGCCTTTTGTACATCTAGAGACCTGATGATAAAAGATGGAATTGGGTATAGCAATGAGTTCAGAATTATTTCAGAGCTTTTTTGGCAGAAGGATGGTGAAAATTAACATTACATTCCCATAAAAACAATCAGATTCCCTTTGTCACCTAAAGGCGACCATTCAACATTTCATTGTGACAAGACCCGTGAAGATCCGGTCTTCAGCAACCCATGCTTGCTGTAAAAGGCGACTTTGCTTGCCGTAAGAGGCAACCAAAGCAACGGGTGGTCATGCTTGCTGAGTTGGTTGATGCATGTCATCGATCCCAATTGCGTAGATCGATGCTCATGATGTCAATCACTGGATTGTCTGGTCCAGACTAGATTATTTACAGACCGCCGTCATATAGCTGGAATATTGCTGAGTGCGGCGTTAAACAACAAACAACTGTACAGTGTGTACTTCAAGAATCCTTATGATAAGATTCATCGGTAGGTGGTAGGCAGATGGCCATTCGCGCTTATTTGTAAAAGATGATTAGCAGCCTTGACCTAACGGTCGTGGATGCCAGCGGCTTGCGGCAATGTTCGTTCTGTCAAATACTGATGTTTTGTCCAGACATGACGAAGCCGACATCGGGAGAGACCACTGTGCAATTCCGACGATATCATTAGCTTGTGTTTATGAATTACTATCGGGTAGTGATGATACTAGATGTTCGAAGAAAGGTAACCTGACCCACCCATCACAAACACATGACAACTTAGGGTAACATGTGGTACAAGTCAAAATATCGAATGTGTCAAATATGGAAATATCCACCACGCGTCTACCATAAATCGTGACAAGCTCTACTAAGGCCTTGGATGCTGTAACTGTGATCAAACAACTGATCTTACAGATACTGTTTGCCATTCTGCATCTTTATGCATGCAATGCCTTCTTAATGCATGTAATGCCTTCTTTATGCATGCAATGCCTTCTTTATGCATGTAATGCCTTCTTTATGCATGCAATGCCTTCTTTATGCATGTAATGCCTTTTTTATGCATGTATTGCCTTCTTTATGCATGCAATGCCTTCTTTATGCATGTAATGCCTTCTTTATGCATGCAATGCCTTCTTTATGCATGTAATGCCTTTTTTATGCATGTAATGCCTTTATGCATGCAATGCCTTCTTTATGCATGTAATGCCTTCTTTATGCATGCAATGCCTTCTTTATGCATGTAATGCCTATCTATACCTCTCTAGGATCACTTCATTTGCAAGAGGTTGTTTCACCTGCAAACGATTGTGACGTTCTTTAAACATGAACGAATTATTGAATTAAGTTCTAAGATATTATCGATCTCCTTTTTTGAGCGAATTGATAAGATCGTATCTCATTGCTGTGGGATGTTCTTAGAACCTTGTGATTTTGTTCTTAAAAATACGTGTGACGTTTTTATTGTATATCAATACTGTCTGGACACTGAGACCTATTACTCGTTAACATAACAATGAGGACGGTCATCCAATGTTACCTTACTCTATACCACGTTGGTCACGCATGTGCATATATCAAAGCAGCGCAGTAGATCTAAACTCCTTGGGACTAATGATACCGTTACATTTATGTTACATCAAATTCTACATTAAATGGATAATGCCGAGCAATGACGGAAGAACATAACATACCAGAACCACTTGACCGCCTCCGTGGTCTAGAGGAGAGTGGAAGGTCCGGGGTTCGATCCCCGGCCGCGTCATACCAAAAGATGTAAACCGATGGTACTTGTTGTTATCCTGCCTGGCGCTCGGCATTAAGGGGCTAAAACAAGGACTGGTCGGCTCGGAGTCAGTATACTGTGTCTGAGTGGGGTATTCATGTTCAACTGCGTCATGGTATCTCAGTGGGGATCACTATAAATCGGCATCAGAAGTGGTGTAGAGCTTAGTACAACTTATACCATCATCTATACTTAATGTTACAAGTCCTATCGTAAAAATACTGTTATGATGGAACAGCATCTTTATTACAGTATGAGTTGGAAATGGAAATGTTTTATCCTCTATTATTGATTAGGAAGATGGCAAACCATAATCTTGCTTTTCCTCGTCTATTGTTTTGTATATGATTGGTATTCTATTATATTTCACTCAAAAAATCATCTCAGTGGGCGTAGTGAGTGAGTGAGTATGGTTTTACGCCGCTTTTAGCAATATTCCAGCAATATCACGGCGGGGGACACCAGAAATGGGCTTCACACATTGTACTCATGTCGGGAATCGAACTCGGGTCTTCGGCGTGACGAGCCAACGCTTTAACCACTAGGCTACCCGACCGCCCCCCTCAGTGGGCGTAAGCTACACATGATCACCAAATGTAATTTCAGCTATACTCAGCACATCTCTGATAACAAGATCAAAATTATTTCCACAAATTGTAAAGGCTTAGCTGACAAGAATACAAGAACATATTTGCCCCTATATCATACCTTGTGACGTGGTTATTAGAATTTCAAAATATAAACCTAATTTAAACATAAACCCCGGGGGCGCTTTAGGTGACAAGTTATGCGTAATCGTTTACTAAATATGTATATTTCTGCCTTCAGGAGTGCCTTTGCCGAGTGTGCTGAAAAAAGAGTGAGCAGTCTCACAGAGTGCTCTGAAACTAGTGGCGCCATCTTCCGAGAGATGCTGTCGGGTTTACTTCCTTAGATGTATCCATGCATACAGAAGAACTTGACCAAATCATCATGTAATGTTTGTTTGTCAATAAATTAGTCTTAATTACGGCCATCGTTTCTTTCGTTCTGAGAAACGTGAAGTTAAACGTCACACGTTAAACGTCAAACGTTAAACGTCAAACTATATTTAGCAAGCTACAAAGAACTGTGTTGATTCCCAAATTGAAACGCGAAGGTTAATTAAATTGTGAGTGAATAACCACGCAAGATCAAAGAATAATTAACAAATTATCATAAAATTTACAGGATACAAAAGCATGTACATTCATGTGCAGTAACGTGATTCAGAAAAGTGGATACTATTGGGCGTGAGAGGTAATGGGTTTCAACAAAAAAAAAGTATGTGAACAGAATAATTCGAACCACGCCTCAACATTGAAAACATTCGTGCGAACGCCCGATTATGTTTCTAGGTTTGTCAGCACCATACCCGTGCTCGTGGGTTTCACCAAAGTGGTAAACGTATGAGACCTGCATCACTTTGTGCTTTCCTCCCACATTAAGCTGACACACCGTGATATAACTGGAATACTGTTAAAAGCGGCGTTGAACCCAACTTACTCACTCAGTCATATGTTAGAGTGAAGTATTCCGGTGTGAACAAACTGCCTGAGCATATACATTTTGTTTACAGACTGTTGTCGGTGAATCTGTAATTCAAAGACAACCCACTCAAAACACTGGACTCAACCAACGCCGCTTCACTCAGTATATTTGCTAACACCAAAGAGTTCGTGTTTTATTTAGTCGTGGTAGAATGGAGATAAACATACTGTGTTTTCAATGTAGAGCAAGGTTACTTGTAGATTTAGCATTTAACTTTTGAAACTTCGTCCTGCGGGTTCGGTTCCAGATTCAATTTTGCGTGGTTAAACCTACAGGTAACCCAGCTAGCTCTACATTGAAAACGCAGTATGTTTATCTCTTTAATGAAAAGACAGCCTCTGTGGTCTAGTGGTAGAGCGTTCGCCCGGAGAGCGGAAGGTCCGGGGTTTGATCCCGGGCCGCGTCATACCAAAAGACGTTAAAAGATGTTACTTGTTGTTACCCTGTCTGGTGCTCGACATTAAGGGGCTAAAACAAGGACTGGTCGGCTCGGAGTCACTCTGTGTCTGAGTGGGATATTCATGTTAAACTGCGGCATGGTATATCAATGAGCTAGCATTATAAATCGGCAGCCACACAAACACACACGTACATTCACGTCGCTATATAAGTGCAATAATCTTGGACGCGACGTTAAACCCTATTTCACCTCACCTCACCTCACCTCACCTTAAATGAAAACACGGTAATAAGTTCACAGGTTTATTAATAGCTAATCAGATAAACCGAACCTGCTCTGACAAAGGTCACTGATTAATCAAATCAAAGCAAATACACAAGCGGCTCAGCTAAGCAAGTGTATTACAGTAATAAAACGAGAGTACTTAAACCAACACTTTGACAAGATACCGACCAGATGCCTGGACAACAAATTAAGTCAACTGCGATCAGTTAACACCTGAGTCAATTAACTCAGCACTCTAATGAGTGAATAACCTCGGCTGTGTTAAATAACGGGAAATAAACACAGAGGGCCCATGAGTAATGATTCAGTCACCTACACTGAACAAGGAAATATTAAAATTCCCAAATAGCAAGACAATCACGGAAAAGTTGGTTATCCACGGATTACTAGAAAAACAGATTATTGGAAACACTAATTACTAAGTAGCTAGGCAATTAAGGGGGAGGTTGGTTATCCACAGATTACGAGGAAAACAGAGTATTCCAAACCCTAGCTACTATGTTTAGCTCGGTACAACCAGAGTAAGTGAGCAGAAGATCGAAAGGTGACGTCAAACGTTAAACGTCAAACTATATTTAGCAAGCTACAAAGAACTGTGTTGATTCCCAAATTGAAACGCGAAGGTTAATTAAATTGTGAGTGAATAACCACGCAAGATCAAAGAATAATTAACAAATTATCATAAAATTTACAGGATACAAAAGCATGTACATTCATGTGCAGTGACGTGATTCAGAAAAGTGGATACTATTGGGCGTGAGAGGTAATGGGTTTCAACAAAAAAAAAGTATGTGAACAGAATAATTCGAACCACGCCTCAACATTGAAAACATTCGCGCGAACGCCCGATTATGTTTCTAGGTTTGTCAGCACCATACCCGTGCTCGTGGGTTTCACCAAAGTGGTAAACGTATGAGACCTGCATCACTTTGTGCTTTCCTCCCACATTAAGCTGACACACCGTGATATAACTGGAATACTGTTAAAAGCGGCGTTGAACCCAACTTACTCACTCAGTCATATGTTAGAGTGAAGTATTCCGGTGTGAACAAACTGCCTGAGCATATACATTTTGTTTACAGACTGTTGTCGGTGAATCTGTAATTCAAAGACAACCCACTCAAAACACTGGACTCAACCAACGCCGCTTCACTCAGTATATTTGCTAACACCAAAGAGTTCGTGTTTTATTTAGTCGTGGTAGAATGGAGATAAACATACTGTGTTTTCAATGTAGAGCAAGGTTACTTGTAGATTTAGCATTTAACTTTTGAAACTTCGTCCTGCGGGTTCGGTTCCAGATTCAATTTTGCGTGGTTAAACCTACAGGTAACCCAGCTAGCTCTACATTGAAAACGCAGAATGTTTATCTCTTTAATGAAAAGACAGCCTCTGTGGTCTAGTGGTAGAGCGTTCGCCCGGAGAGCGGAAGGTCCGGGGTTTGATCCCGGGCCGCGTCATACCAAAAGACGTTAAAAGATGTTACTTGTTGTTACCCTGTCTGGTGCTCGACATTAAGGGGCTAAAACAAGGACTGGTCGGCTCGGAGTCACTCTGTGTCTGAGTGGGATATTCATGTTAAACTGCGGCATGGTATATCAATGAGCTAGCATTATAAATCGGCAGCCACACAAACACACACGTACATTCACGTCGCTATATAAGTGCAATAATCTTGGACGCGACGTTAAACCCTATTTCACCTCACCTCACCTCACCTTAAATGAAAACACGGTAATAAGTTCACAGGTTTATTAATAGCTAATCAGATAAACCGAACCTGCTCTGACAAAGGTCACTGATTAATCAAATCAAAGCAAATACACAAGCGGCTCAGCTAAGCAAGTGTATTACAGTAATAAAACGAGAGTACTTAAACCAACACTTTGACAAGATACCGACCAGATGCCTGGACAACAAATTAAGTCAACTGCGATCAGTTAACACCTGAGTCAATTAACTCAGCACTCTAATGAGTGAATAACCTCGGCTGTGTTAAATAACGGGAAATAAACACAGAGGGCCTATGAGTAATGATTCAGTCACCTACACTGAACAAGGAAATATTAAAATTCCCAAATAGCAAGACAATCACGGAAAAGTTGGTTATCCACGGATTACTAGAAAAACAGATTATTGGAAACACTAATTACTAAGTAGCTAGGCAATTAAGGGGGAGGTTGGTTATCCACAGATTACGAGGAAAACAGAGTATTCCAAACCCTAGCTACTATGTTTAGCTCGGTACAACCAGAGTAAGTGAGCAGAAGATCGAAAGGTGTCCCGAGACCACTAACTAACGTTTCGAAAGAGACCACCTCGAGGCACACCGACTCGTTCGAATCTTGGGGGGTAGAGACACAAGATCCTGACAGAAGTATAACTATACAGCACGCGGGAACTGGGGAGAATCATCTCTCCTGGGCCCTGTTCCTGAAAGCAATCTTACCGCTAAGGTGATCGTAAGTCACATACTTTAACATAGACTTACGATCATTGTAGCGCTAAGATCGCTTAGAGGAACGAGGCTCTGGAGGTAGAGGGGAATGTCCGAGTAACTCTCCATCCCTTAAAACTAATGGAGCAGAGGCCCCGCTGGGGCCGAGACCCATTATTTTTAAGGAATGGAGAGTTACGAGGATATTCTCCTACTTAAAACTCATCCCTACGTTTACACTTTGACAAAATATTCTGTCGTTGAAAATATTTGAAAAATTCAAATGCTGCTTCAAGATAATGCACATACAGTTGACAAGCAACTCTCCATTCCTGATAAATAATGGAGCGTTCAAACAATAGAATGACGTCACAGATGTGTTTCAAAGACGGGGAATACAGTAGTCTGAGGCTTTTAGCCAAACTGTGTTTCCAAACACGAAAAGCAAACTAACTACTATATCCAAAATAAAGCACTGAACATAAGCTATCCAACGGTATGATTAAACATCAACAACAAGCTATATCTATATTTATGTACAATTATCGATGAGGCAAAACTGATAATAAATACAGAAATATGTGAGTGTACATATAAGTTCCCCTAATGTTTGAAACTCATAGTTATAAAAACAGTTTCACCACAAGAATAAGGCAGCGAACATGTCAATACATGGTATGAGTGTGCCATTTTGAAATAGTTGTGCCTCTAATTCCCAAAAAGTATGCATAATGACACTGTACAATGACGACCGCCGGACGTGGCAGAGCGCTGTCGGAAAAAAGGCCGGATAGCGGAGAGGTCACTAGACACGAGAGAAATAACAACCCCGTGACAACAGACATGAACTTTATGTTTTTGTTGAATTATTTTTAAGTCTTCCACTGCGTCTATAATCGGTTTTAATTTAGCCGATTACCGCAAATTTTGAACCACATGGTAAATGTGGCTTTATTTATCGTCACTGCATCAAAATTAAATACTTTTGGAAAAGATTGTCCTACGTTTATGCAGTTATATTCTATTTAGGGACAAAGGGAATCTGGAATGGTAATTGCCATTTAATACATCGACTGTGTGTTGCCAAGATGAAGTTTGTGAAGTTGTGGTTTCTCTTCTTTCAAGTAGTGATTATATTCAAAACGCCTATACTAGAGAATAACATGTCTCCAGTATCTGCCGAAACAGATACCATAGGGTGTAAAAGGAAACGGTGATATGGGACTCTGAAATGGGGCTCCAAAAAGTACTAGAATATATCCGGTCCGTTACTTCTTAAGTGTAATCCACAATATAACATTTTGTTACTTTTGACCACTTTCTGAAAGGTATTGTGTATTCTTTGGTGAGGTGGGGTGAAATGGGATTTAACCTCGCGTTTAAGATTCTTGCACTTGTGTAGGGACGTTCAAGCACGTGTGTGGGTGGGTGGGTGTGGGTGTGGGGGTGGTGGTGGTTGTGTGTTTGTGTGACTGTCTGTACTAGTCCGAACTAATGCCGATTATATAGTGCTAGCCCACTGAGACACCATGTCGCAGTTCAACATTCAACACCCCATTCACACACAGTACACTGACTCCCAGCGGACACGTCCTCGTTTTAGCTCCTTAATGTCGAGCGCCAGGCAGGGTAAGAGGGTTTTTACGTCTTTTGGTATGACGCGGCCGGGAATCGAACCCCCTTGACCTTCTGTTCCCCTGGCAGACGCCCTATCCACGGACCACGGAGACGGTCACTTGTGCATTCATATCTTTCGGCCATGGGTGCCGTGGTAAGCTACACTTATAAGAGTGTTATATAAAGTACCCGATCTAGGCTACCAGTTGTTGGGCTTCCATTTATGTGGAATGCTCGGTGACTGGGATGAACAGATCGCTGACTTAGTGTACATTTAGGTGCCTCATTATGAGAGTGTAGGTTCGAATCCCGGATAGGTATCAACCCACAAAAGGTACTAGAATTTGTAATTTACTAAGAAAGTGTATTCCCAGATAGAACATTTGTTACATTTGAACATTTTTAAGGGCATTGTGAATTCAAACATTCAGGTATATCACGGTTTGTGAGATTGATGAAGGAGGAAAGTCAGAAGTGATGCTGGCCTAAGACGTTTACCACTTTAGTGAAAGCCACGTGCGCCGTATGTAGCTGCCAAACCGAGAAACATCATCAAGTCAAATCGAATCTTGGATTTGAACCAGATCGTAGGTTTCGGGCACGCCTAAGGGAGGCAACTCTACACAGCGATTTCTGGCGCGTTATGCGACTGCTAAATATGATACAGGTAAATATCATTTTCATGAATACAATGTTCTTAATATACACAAAAACGGTTGTAAATAACGGTTTTTTTAGCATTTCATTACACTTAAAAAGCTGTATTAAGTTTGAACTATTGAGCAATAATCTTTGAGAGCAAACTCTAAGCGAGACTACTTTTAATTGTTCGAGGTTTCAAACTTTTAATCATACACATGAAACGGAAAGAACGAAAAAAGAGAAAAAGTATGGACGGAGAAGAAGAGGAGAAGAAGAGAAACAGAGAAGAAAGGAGAAAAAGAAAAGGAAGTAAAGAAGAAATAAGAGAAGAGAGGAAGAGGAATAAAAAAGAGAGGAAAAAATAGAAGAAGAGAGGAAGAAAGAGAAAAGAGACAAAGAAAAGAGATAAAGAAAAAAGAAAGAGAACAAAAAAGGGGGAAGAAAGAGGAGCAGGAAAAGAAACAAGAAAGAGAGAAAAGAAAGGAAAAAAGGAGAGGAAAGATACGAGAAGAGGACGAAAGAAGGAGGAAAAGTAGAGAGATCACACACACCTAACCTGTCTAGATGTACACACACACACCTGTCTACATGTACACAAACACACCTGTCTACATGTACACAACACACACCTGTCTACATGTACACACACACCTGTCTACATGTACACACACACACCTGTCTACATGTACACACACACACCTGTCTACATGTACACACACACCTGTCTAGATGTACACACACACACCTGTCTACATGTACACACACACACCTGTCTACATGTACACACACACCTGTCTAGATGTACACACACACACCTGTCTACATGTACACACACACACCTGTCTACATGTACACACACACACCTGTCTACATGTACACACACACACCTGTCTACATGTACACACACACAACTGTCCTACATGTACAACACACACACACACCTGTCTAGATGTACACACACACACCTGTCTACATGTACACACACACACCTGTCTAGATGTACACACACCTGTCTAGATGTACACACACACACCTGTCTACATGTACACACACACACCTGTCTACATGTACACACACACCTGTCTACATGTACACATACACACCTGTCTACATGTACCACACACACACCTGTCTACATGTACACACACACACCTGTCTACATGTACACACACACAACTGTCTACATGTACACACACACACACCTGTCTAGATGTACACACACACACCTGTCTACATGTACACACGCACACACCGTCTACATGTACACACACACAACTGTCTACATGTACACACACACACACCTGTCTACATGTACACACGCACACACCCGTCTACAGGTACACACACACACACTTGTCTACATGTACACACACACACACAACTGTCTAGATGTACACATCACACACCTGTCTAGATGTACATACACACACCTGTCTACATGAACACACACACACACTTGTCTACATGTACACACACACACAACTGTCAAGATGTACACACACACAACTGTCTAGATGTACACACACACACACACACCCGTCTACATGTACACACACACACACCTGTCTACAGTACACACACACACCTGTCTACATGTGCACACCCATCACCTGTCTACATGTACACACACACAACTGTCTAGATGTACATACCCATCACCTGTCTACATGTACACACACACACACTTGTCTACATGTACACACACACACAACTGTCTAGATGTACACACACACACCTGTCTACATGTACACACACCTGTCTACATGTACACACACACACCTATCTACATGTACACACACACACACCTGTCTACATTTACACACACACACCTGTCTAGATGTACATACACACACACCCGTCTACATGTACACACACACACACCTGTCTAGATGTACACACCCATCACCTGTCTACATGTACACAAAAACACACCAATCTACATGTACACACACACACCTATCTACATGTACACACACACACACCTGTCTACATGTACACACACACACACCTGTCTTCATGTACACACACACACCTATCTACATGTACACACACACAACTGTCTACATGTACACACACACACACACCTGTCTAGATGTACACACCCATCACCTGTCTACATGTACACCCAATCACCTGTCTACATGCATGCACACACACACACACACACACACACACACACACACACACACACACACACACACACACACACACACACACACACACACCTGTCTACATGTACACACACACACCTATCTACATGTACACACACACACCTATCTACATGTACACACACACACACCTGTCTACATGTACACACACACACTTGTCTACATGTACACACACACACTTGTCTACATGTACACACACACAACTGTCTAGATGTACACACCCATCACCTGTCTACATGTACACCCAATCACCTGTCTACATGCACACACACACACACACACACACACACACACACACACACACACACACACACACACACACACACACACACACACACACACACACACACACAAACACACACACACACACAAACACACACACACACACAAACACACAAACACACATATCTTATGTAGTCACTCGCCCTCACTTCTCACTGCTGTACCCCTGGTATTTGGTCCTCGCACTGCCACCTCTACTCATTCTATAAATTACACAATTGTATGTGTACTACCACTATTGAATACAACATGTTGTATGCATCAGTACATGGGGGTCAATATATTCATTGCAATGCTTCAAAGTAAACTGATATATGTAGATCCCTTCCATGATCCGTTATTTGTGAGATCGATTCGCCTGACCCCCACCCTTGGTCTGCGTCACTAAAGTGGTACAAGTCAGCGGTAGATGACGCTGCAATACACTGTGCAGAGATGCGTCCCTTAGGCGTGATAGAAACATATGGTCATGGGTTCGAATCCCAGAATCGCCCTTACTATGTTTCTTTGTTTACCAGTACAATACCCATGCTCGAGGGTGTCTCCCAATGATAAACGAGGACATGCCAAATTATAGGGCCGGAAGTAATTACCTCCCTTGATAAAGTAATTGCGATATGTATCCCTATGAAGATGTGACATTTGGTAAATTTTTTATGGGTATGGATAATATATCTCCCGAGTTAATGTCAGTAATAGGCCCCGGTGGGTCTTTATAAGGGATAGCCGTTGTATAAACTGCATGTGTAAGCCACACCAGCTATTCACGGTGAACAAGTCGCTTACAATGTGTGGACGAGTGGTCTTCCTTCTGTATTTGCCAGCAATATGTTTCTCATTTGGTGAGTGCTTTGTTGAGTAATTACTTATTCATGAATTCATATTGTCCTCAATCAATGTACTAAATGACCACAAACTCATGTCTATAGATGGTAGATGCGTATTATAGATCTTATGGTTGGGGGACCAGGGGCGCCATCAGTTTAATGCACACCTTTCAGACAGTCATATTCTCAATGAAAGATTCACAGAGCTGTGTATTTAGTAAGATCAGTTATGTCGGAGAAAATGGCAAAATAACACATATGGTAGAAGTGTAGCACTTTAATAGCGCCCATGAGAACAAAATATCTGAATCGGAGTCAATTTACGTTAAACTGAATTACTCATTCGCTGTCTCCAGCTGTGCTTTCCAATGATGGCATTGGGACTCAACGTCGGCAGAATCCGGATGAGATTGATGAGAACTGGGTAAACACGACAATTGTTTCGGAGGTTGGGGATCCTTGCCTTACGCAGCTAGAACCCTGCCTGAATCTCTTCCAACCTCTGCAACGCCTGGATGGTCCACAAGACCTCGTTGTTGATGGGGACCTCAATATACCATGCGGGTAAGTAGGCACTTGGTTGAGTGGCTTTATAGTTATGAAGATAGCAGATGCTTTATCTCACTTTGTATTGACTCACTTTGTGAATGGTTACTGCCAGGGCAATTATTTTCATGTACCCCACCAACAGAAACTTCTTACATTGAATCGTAATCGTAACATCAGAAGCACTATGTACTACTACACAAAGGGTTTTAATCAGAATACAGTATTGAATAGTAACAGGAATTTAACGAGAGATGTCAACCACAACATACTTGAATAAAGTTTAATAAAATATGTTTAAACTAGATTTCTTATCCATGTGAATATAGTAATATGAATGTATTATCTCGAATCTGAAAGATTCGTTTAGCGAAAGTACGCAAGGGTGAGAAGTCTAGATGCATTTACACCGTCTGCAAGTTGTTGGGTAATGGAAAATGGAATATTGGTAAATGCGTTACCTTTCAAGGTATTGTAGCTAATGAAATAGATTAAATGTGTTACCTTCTGTGCTACACTCTTCAGAAAACAGATACGCACAGGTAGATTTTTAGTAAATGTATTGTACCTAATAAAGTTGATATATTTAATTTAATATTATAGATAGAGCTCGATAGTCACATGTTGTTGTTTAAAGGCATTTGAAAACTGTTCATTGTATGTCACATAAGGCCACAAGGTTGCGCTGAACTCAGTATCTCGTGTAACCGCCCCAGGCAGCAATCACGGCTCTGCATCACCTCAGCACTGACTGGATAAGTGTACGAATTCCTGTCCTGCAGAATTCTGCGCCATTCTGCTTGTAACGCGTTGGCCAGTTATTGGAGTGTCTGTGGCGTGTTCTGACGTTGACGTACACGTCGATCGAGTTCATCCCAGAGGTGTTCGATTGGGTTGAGATCTGGAGATCTCGACGGCCAGGGCAAGACGTTGATGTTGGCATTATGAAGGTAGTCTACCGTGCCATGAGCTGTGTACGGTGGAGCGTTGTCCTGTTGAAACAGCTCCTTCTGGCGGTCAATGATTGGAAGAAGGTGAGGTTGAAGAATTTGATTCATGTAGCGATTTGCTGTCAAATTTCCCTGAACCATAACCAAGTTAGTTCTCGTGGGGTAGGATATGCGTCCTGCAGTCTCCGTTGCTGTATCACTGCGATGACGAAGGTGGAACAGTCGAATGTAGCGATCCTGTGCAGGGGTGGTAACGCTTGGTCGGCCGGTTCTCGGACGGTCTACAGTGGAATTAAACTGTGTGTTTCGGTCACAAAGACGGCAAATGGTGCTGTGGTGGACGTTGAAGTGGCGTGCAACAGAAGACTGCGATTCCCCTCTTTTGATACATCCTGAGTCTCGGCATTTTCGAACTTAAAACATGTGCATGTTGACAATTGAAGGACAAATTATTGGCTCATGCCTGCCTTTTAGTAGCCATTACCACGAGTTACGAATGACATAACTTGCACGTGCATTTGGCTTTACTGTTTTCCTCAATGACATTTTTGAACAAGTGTGAAGACATTCCAAATCGACAATGGCTGTGTTTTGACGCACCGTTTGTCGAATTTCTGGCCACAAACATTTTCCAATATAACATATATCCAATGTATATACCGGATTTGTTGTGCAGTCAGGTTCAATGAACTACATACTACCTTTGCGTTTCATTTTTTGAAGAGTGTATATGGGATAATGTAATACGGATAAATGCGTTATAATCTACTTTATATGAGGTAATGATGTAAAGGTAAATACGTTACCTACTATATTACACGGGGTAGTGGAAAATGCGTAACCTTTTGATTTATACGGCGTAGTGATGTACAGGTAAATGCGTTACCTTCTGTTTTACACAGGGTAGTGATGTACAGGTATATGCGTTACCTTTTATAATACACATGGTAGTGATGTACAGGTTAATGCGTTATGTTCTATATTCCACAGGGTAGTGATGTATAGATAAATGCGCTATGTTCTATATTACACATGGTAGTGGTGTACAGATAAAAGCGTTACTTTCTATATCACACAGGGTAGTGACGTACAGGTAAAAGCGTTACCTTCTATATTACACAGGGTAGTGATATACAGGTATATGCGTTACCTTCTATATTACACTGGGTAGTGATGTACAGGTAAATGCGTTATGTTCTATATTCCACAGGGTAGTGATGTATAGATAAATGCGTTATGTTCTATATTACACATGGTAGTGGTGTACAGGTAAAAGCGTTACTTTCTATATCACACAGGGCGGTGACGTACAGGTAAATGCGTTACCTTCTATAATACACATGGTAGTGGTGTACAGGTAAAAGCGTTACTTTCTATATCACACAGGGTATTGATGTACAGGTAAATGCGTTACCTTCTATAATACACATGGTAGTGATGTACAGGTAAATGCGTTACCTTCTATAATACACATGGTAGTGACGTACAGGTAAATGCGTTACCTTCTATAATACACAGGGTAGTGATGTACAGGTAAATGCGTTAACTTCTATAATACACAGGGTAGTGATGTACAGGTAAATGCGTTAACTTCTATATTACACAGGGTAGTGATGTACAGGTAAAAGAGTTACCTTCTATAATACACATGGTAGTGATGTACAGGTAAATGCGTTAACTTCTATAATACACAGGGTCGTGATGTACAATTAAAAGCGTTACCTTCTATATTACACAGGGTAGTGATGTACAGGTAAAAGCGTTACCTTCTTTATCACACAGGGTAGTAATGATGTACAGGTAAAAGCGTTATATTCTATATTCCACAGGGTAGTGATGTACAGGTAAATGCGTTACGTTTAATAATATACAGGGTAGTGATGTACAGGTATATGCGTTACCTTCTATATTACACAAGGTAGTGATGTACAGGTAAATGCGTTACCTTCTATATTACACAGGGTAGTGATGTACAGGTAAAAGTGTTACCTTCTATATTACACTGGGTAGTGATGTAGAGGTAAATGCGTTATATTCTATTTTACACATGGTAGTGATGTACAGCTTAATGCGTTACCTTCTATAATACACAGGGTAGTGATGTACAGGTAAAAGCGTGACCTTCTATAATACACAGGGTAGTGATGTACAGGTATATGCGTTTCCTTCTATATTACACAGGGTAGTGATGTACAGGTAAATGCGTTACCTTCTTTATCACACAGGGTAATGATGTACAGGTAAAAGCGTTATATTCTATATTCCACAGGGTAGTGATGTACAGGTAAATGCGTTACGTTTAATAATACACAGGGTAGTGATGTACAGGTATATGCGTTACCTTCTATATTACACAAGGTAGTGATGTACAGGTAAATGCGTTACCATCTATAATACACAGGGTAGTGATGTACAGGTATATGCGTTACCTTCTATAATACACGGGGTAGTGATGTACAGGTAAATGCGTTACCTTCTATAATACACAGGGTAGTGACGTACAGGTAAATGCGTTAACTTCTATATTACACAGGGTAGTGATGTACAGGTAAATGCGTTGCCTTAAATATTACACAGGGTAGTGATGTACCGGTAAATGCGTTACCTTCTATAATACACAGGGTAGTGACGTACAGGTAAAAACGTTACCGTCTATATTACACAGGGTAGTGATGTACAGGTATATGCGTTACCATCTACATCACACAGGGTAGTGATTTTCAGGTAAAAGCGTTACCTTCTATATTACACAGGGTAGTGATGTATAGATAAATGCGTTGCCTAAAATATTACACAGGGTAATGATGTACCGGTAAATGCGTTACCTTCTATAATACACAGGGTAGTGACGTACAGGTAAAAGCGTTACCTTCTATATTACACAGGGTAGTGATGTACAGGTATATGCGTTACTTTCTATATCACACAGGGTAGTGATTTTCAGGTAAAAGCGTTACCTTCTATTTTACACAGGGTAGCGATGTACAGGTAAATGCGTTACCTTCTATATCACACAGGGTAGTGATGTACAGGTAAAAGCGTTACCTTCTATAATACACACTGCGTTATATAGTGGCATTTTATACAGGTAACTGCGTCACTCACTCGCTCATTTCAATGTGAATATTTGTGGAAGGTCACATATCCAGGAGGAGATCCGGGACTGCCTCGACGATAACAGTGGATGTAAGGACAACATGTTCTACATGTTAATACAAGTATCTCAGCAGGCGTGGGATTTCATTTGCCAACACAGCCAAGGTATTCTATTTTCTAAGCATGGCCTTAAATTGATTAAAATCATAAAGCTTGTATTAGTACCCATTGTAATTCACAAAAGAGATCCGTTGTTTAATACCATGAACTGGGCTTATTCATGGCAGATTGTGTGATCGATGGTTATGTAGATAAATTTTACGTGAGTGTCATGGGCGGTTGTGTGCGCGATGGTTATTTAGACTACCTTTACATGGGAGATTGTGTATTTGATCATGTAGATTCATTTCCCATCAGAAATGGGCTTCATACATTATACCGATGTGGGGAATCGAACCCAGGCCTTCGGCCATGAAAGCTGTTAGTTATTTGCAATTTTAGAAGATTGATCTGTAAATTCACAAAGTCAATACCATTATAACTGTCATACAACTCAAGTTATCAATTTATGACATGCTCACGGGTACATTTGCTTTTGGGTTTCATTATGCATGCATCTCAACAGATGATATTCTCAGCAGGGGTGGTAGGGTAGGTCACACCGAAGACGTGAGTCCTTCCCCACGTGGGTACAATGTGTGAATGCCCGTGAAGATACGGGGTGGAATAGGTCTTCAGAAACACATGCTTGCCGTGAAAGGCGACTATGCTTGTCGTAAGAGGCGACTGACGAGATCGGGTGGTCAGGCTCGCTGACTTGGTTGATGCATGTCATGGATCCCAATTGCGTCGATCGATGCTCATGATATCAATAACTGGATTGTCTGGTCCAGACTCGATTATTCACAGACCGCCGTCATATAGCTGTAATATTGTCCAGTGCCGCGTTAAACAACTCGATCACTCGATGAGAACGCTTTAACCACTTGGCTATCCCACCTCCCTACAGCAATTGGAAAGAGAAAGAGGCCATGAAAGCTGTTGGTTATATGCACGTTTAGAAGATTCATCAATCTGTAAATTCACAAAGTCAATACCATTATATTCTCCATACCTAGCACACAGGGACGTTTCACCAGCCATTGTAATTGCAACTGAGGAAGTAGTTCCGAGTTTGCAAAATATTTTAAATCTAAACAAATGTAATTAAAAAAATTAAGGTCACTAAAATTCTTTATCATACTTTTGGTTATGATTATATATAAAATCAACTTCCAAAAAATATTTATAAAGATACGAGACAGTTGTTGGAAGCGAAAGAACCCACTTTGGTCAAGTAAGAAAAATGGCGCTTTGCGAAACGAACAGTCTCGACTGACGAGTTAAATGAGAAATTAACAGTTTATGATAACATTTTCAAGAGAAGAACAAACGACAATATCACCTTGTCAATGTTGAACTAACGTAAAAAGTCAACAGTTTGTGTACAGGCCAGACACTTACAATTTGTTGGGAGATAGCTCCTTCGTCAAAGTCTTATGTTCACTGCAGTGAAATATCAAGTGTTATGTTCACTACAGTGATATATCAAGTGTTATGTTCACTACAGTGATATATCAAGTGTTATGTTCACTACAGTGATATATCAAGTGTTATGTTCACTACAGTGATATATCAAGTGTTATGTTCACTACAGTGATATATCAAGTCTTATGTTCACTACAGGGATACATCAAGTCTTATGTTCACTGCAGTGATATATCAAGTGTTATGTTCACTACAGTGATATATCAAGTGTTATGTTCACTACAGTGATATATCAAGTGTTATGTTCACTGCAGTGATATATCAAGTGTTATGTTCACCACAGTGATATATCAAGTGTTATGTTCACTACAGTGATATATCAAGTGTTATGTTCACTACAGTGATATATCAACTGTTATGTTCACTACAGTAATATATCAACTGTGATATTCACTGAAATGAAAGTATCACTTTTCTCAACTTCAGAAGATTGTTCTTTCACACTGAAGTATATAATAAATTGTTATATGTACTATACTGATTATGTTGAAGGAATATGTGAATATGATTAACGCTCGCAAACGTTTCGTGGGTAATTTTGTGCCACCAGGATCTCCATCTATGTTCCAGGATTTATAGCAGGGGAAGCCTGCTGGGCCTCTTCGGATTTCCACACCACGATCGCTGGGTGTGGCAATTCTAGCCAACAAGAAGTGTGGTAAATAGTTTATATCATAGTATTATGTTCTCACACTATTTACCTGCATATATTGACACGTCCTACACATGATGACATCGAGTTTATTTTGGTTTCAACGGTAGCATGTCAGGAGACAATTCTGATTCTACTTTATACTAAAGCCCACAGAAGTGATCCCTCCCCTGACCTGAAGACGTTAAAAGATAGTGTTTGTTGTTACACTACCTGCCGCTCTGCGTTAAGTTGTAAAATATTCGTTTTTATTGAAGGGTGAAGATCCACCTTTTTGTATACCTTGCCATAGCCCTCTTACTATGAAGCACATTCTGCTGGAATGTGTTGATTTTGCACTTGTCAGGCAACGTTTTTATGATAATGTTCGTACCTTATCTGAACTTTTTACCACGGTTTCTAATCACTTGATTTTAGCGTATTTAAAGGAAATCAAGCTCTATGATAAAATATAGATTTTTACCTGAACAGTCAGTTTTTTACCTCTGAATGTGATATATGACAGAGAGTTTAGTGATTTTCAACATCACTTTTATTCAATTGGTTGATATCTGATTACGAAAAAGACATTTCTCGCCGCGAATAGCTGCAAAATTGCTGATGCGGCGTTAAGCAATATTCACTCACTCACTCACTCACTCACTAAGTTGTAAAATAAAGACTGATCGGCTCGAAGTCGTATAATTGTTTCAGGGAGTGGGGGTGGGGGTGGGGGTGGGGGTGGGGGTGGGGTGGCATTCAGATTACATTGCAGCAGGGTATCTCAGTGGGATGGCACTATAAAAGGGTCCCCAGTTCGGTACAGTACAAGCAGATCATACACACGTCGCTATTGAAATGAAATAATCTCACCTCACATCACCTTGTCTACATGTCAACGACACGATCATATTCGCAGATAATGTTTCTTTCATTTAAAAAAGGCCAAAATGGTTTATATGTCACATCTCCTTCAGAGGAAGTATTCTATCTTGCGATAGAGCTGGTTGTTGTATGGCTCTCAGCGTAATCCCGGAGATACAGGCACTACATGAAATTGTGTCTAGATCTACATCCTTCCAGTTTGATAGTGACTTTCAGTTTGGTCCTCACTGTAAGAAGGTTCATACTCCAATGAACTCACACAAAGTGATAGGCAATTCATAAATAATGATATGTTCAATTATAGGTTACAAAACATAAAGTCCCGGTTAATCCAATATTCAAGTATGTGTGGCAATACACTTTGTGGAGACAGTACGGTAGAAATAAACGAAGAGAATGCATTTCAAGTTTTTGGGACAACAGAAAGCTTGGAATTTATCGCATTTCTATATACGATTGTGTCGTCATATCTTTTGCGTCACAATTAGCGATAACGCAAAAGATATGACGTCACAATGACATGCGGTGTGAAACGATACCATTCAAAGTTTGCTTAAGTTTCGAAAGAAGTGCTCACTACATGCATTCAATGCCTGTCATGTGTTCAAGTGAAGTAGACATGTGAAGATCCGGGGTAGAATAGATCTTCAGCAACCCATGCTTGTCGTAAAAGGCCACTAACGGGATCGGTTGGTCAGGCTCGCTGACTTGGTTGATGCATGTCATCGATCCCAATTGCGTGGACCGATGCTCATGATGTCAATCACTGGATTGTCTGGTCCAGACTCGATTTTTTTACAGACCGCCGTCATACAGCTGGAATATTGATGAGTGCGGCGTTAGACAACAAACCAACAACAATCAATCAAGTGAAGTATCACGGTGTAAAAATACTTCTTGAGCATATACGGCGCAACAGTTTGTTCAAAGGCTGTTGGGGGGCGGTCGGGTAGCCTAGTGGTTAGAGCGTTCGATCGTCACGCCGAAGACCCGGGTTCGATTCCCGACATGGGTACAATGTGTAAAGCCCATTTCTGGTGTTCCCCGCCGTGATATTGCTGGACTATTGCTAAAAGAGGCGTAAAACCATACTCACTCACTCACTCACTCAAAGGCTGTTGGCGATGATTCGGCTTCACTCAATATTTTTGCCAATACCAAAGAGTTCGCGTTTAAATTTGTCATGGTAGAATGAAGGTAATCTTCCAATGTGTTCAGTTAAGCCCTAGGTTACATGTCCATTTACCGCGCTAAATTAAACATTTGAAATGTCAAGCTGCGCGTTTGGTTCCAAATTCAATACAAATGAAAGCTACAGGTACTCTTGTTCTACACTGGAAACACATTATGTTTATCTCCTATTGTTTTGCAATAAGCCTTTAACAGTTTAGGATTACAACAACATAGATTTGGCCACAGTCATATCTGGAGAAAAAGTAACGTTGAGCAAACCTGTTCCCCAAAGTGGAATATATGTATTTACCAAAAACATCAACTTGAATCAACGACTATGTTGAAAAAAGAATAGCTTCAGTAACCCTTAATCAGTTCCAAACTTCAAATTGTCAAGAATGACGTCGATTTCGTTACGCGATTTTGATTGGACTATGTGTGGACTCGTAACTCCATATTTCCAGCCTAGTTTGGCAAGGGTGAAAACTGGATTTTTATAGACAGATAACTCCCTTGCCTCGGGAAGATGGGACCCCTGTGACTAATGCTGTGATTACTTACATGAGAACTTATCACAAGTTTTTCCCCACATGTTGAATTCGAATTTCAAGTTGGATATATAAGGTTTAGAGATCATTGTTGTCTCAATTTGCTTGTATTGAAAATGAATAACTCTTGTCACTTTATGATAATATACGTCTTCATCTTTTAAAAGAGCCATTACCATGACTTTTTGTAACTTAAGTAGTTCAGATAAAAAAAAATTGTTTTATGAATGAAGATTCATTACAAGCTACACTTGATAACATTATTTGTTGTATGTTCCAAAAAAGACAAAAATATTCCCAATCATCTCTTAATATGCTCGTTGCTGTGTAAACGTTTCATACAGCTTTATGGAGTTTATAATATTATTGTGTATCATAAGGCAAGTACGCCTGGATGTGCAGGCGTTTATGGCAGTGATGATATACTCATGTTGGAATATATGCTTGAACATGTGACACATAAATAAACATTTCTCTCTCTCCTCATCTCTCTTTCTCCTCCTCTCTCTTTCTCTCTCTCACCCCTCTCTCTTTCTCTCTCTCACCCCTCTCTCTTTCTCTTTATCACCCTTCTCTCTTTCTCTCTCTCCCTCTCTCTTACTCTATCTCCCTTCTCTCTCTCTCTCTCCCTCCCTCTTACTCTATCTCTCCTCTCTCTCTCACTCCCTCTTACTCTATCTCCCCCTCTCTCTCTCTCCCTCCCTCTTACTCTATCTCCCCCTCTCTCTCTCTCTCCCTCCCTCTCTCATATCTCCCCCTCTCTCTCACTCTCTCCCTCCCTCTTACTCTATCTCCCCCTCTCTCTCACTCTCTCCCTCCCTCTTACTCTATCTCCCCCTCTCTCTCTCACTCTCTCCCTCCCTCTTACTCTATCTCCCCCTCTCTCTCACTCTCTCCCTCCCTCTTACTCTATCTCCCCCTCTCTCTCACTCTCTCCCTCCCTCTTACTCTATCTCCCCCTCTCTCTCTCACTCTCTCCCTCCCTCTTACTCTATCTCCCCCTCTCTCTCACTCTCTCCCTCCCTCTTACTCTATCTCCCTCTCTCTCACTCTCTCCCTCCCTCTTACTCTATCTCCCCTCTCTCTCTCTCCCTCCCTCTCTCATATCTCCCCCTCTCTCTCTCTCACTCTCTCCCTCCCTCTTACTCTATCTCCCCCTCTCTCTCACTCTGTCCCTCCCTCTTACTCTATCTCCCCCTCTCTCTCACTCTCTCCCTCCCTCTTACTCTACCCCCCTCTCTCTCTCACTCTCTCCCTCCCTCTTACTCTATCTCCCCCTCTCACTCTCTCCCTCCCTCTTACTCTATCTCCCCCTCTCTCTCTCTCTCTCCCTCCCTCTTACTCTATCTCCCTTCTCTCTCTCTCCCTCCCTCTTACTCTATCTCCCCCTCTCTCTCACTCTCTCCCTCCCTCTTACTCTATCTCCCCTCTCTCTCTCTCTCTCCCTCCCTCTTACTCTATCTCCCCTCTCTCTCTCTCTCTCCCTCCCTATTACTCTATCTCCCCTCTCTCTCTCACTCTCTCCCTCCCTCTTACTCTATCTCCCCTCTCTCTCTCTCTCTCTCCCTCCCTCTTACTCTATCTCCCCTCTCTCTCTCTCTCTCCCTCCCTCTTACTCTATCTCCCCCTCTCTCTCTCTCTCCCTCCCTCTTACTCTATCTCCCCCTCTCTCTCTCACTCTCTCCCTCCCTCTTACTCTATCCCCCTCTCTCTCTCCCTCCCTATTACTCTATCTCCCCCTCTCTCTCTCACTCTCTCTCCCCATCTCTCTTTCTCTCTCTCCCTCTCTCTCTGTTCACATTAATTACTGTAAAATCCTGAATCTGGACATTTACTAACAACTATGCCTCTTTAACAGTATGCCTACCTGCATCAGAGACGTTGTGGCGAAGATACCTGCTTGCACTGCAGATGACGCCTCCCTGCTTGGTAACCTGTCGACAGTGTCGGAAGCCATGATCCCAAACTCGTCATGCTAGAACAGTACACTCATCCATAGGTACAAGGGACCGGCCGTCTAATCTTCAGATGTTACCTACAGTAACAAGGGACCGGCCGTCTAATCTTCAGATGTTACCTACAGTAACAAGGGACCGACCGTTTTATCTTCAGATGCGCGTCGGATACTTGGTCACGTTAATTGCAAACATCATTTTAATTCTGCTTAATAAAGGAATTATCACATCCGTGTGGGTGTCACATCTATTTTCCTTAGGTCAGAATCGTTACTGTGAACAGTATATCAGTAATATCACGGTGTGTCAGCTTGAGGAAAGCCTCCTATAAAGGAGTGTTTGATACTGACAAACCAAGGTTCATAATCGGGACGAATTCCTGGAACGGTCATTTTTTAAAATTGTTTTCAATCTGAATGCTTACTTTCACTAGCGATGTTCGTGGGGCATGACGAATGACGGGAGATACGTACCGGCTGTATTACAAAGGTATTAATGTTTGGTTCGTGTCACTTGCATCCACATGTAATTTCATGAACCCACAGACGTATGCACAGCCCATTCATCTGCCAAATTACATAGTGTATAACCCAAGTAATTCGTGGTAGATAATGTTCCTCCTGTCAGTGATGCTAATAAGTGTCTACCTCCCATGGCAGACCACACAGGAAGGCTCATCTAACATTTCCTAGTGAGTGAGTGAGTGAGTGAGTATGGTTTTACGCCGCTTTTAGCAATATTCCAGCAATATCACCAGAAATGGGCTTCACACATTGTACCCATGTTGGGAATCGAACCCGGGTCTTCGGCGCGACGAGCGAACACTTTAACCACTGGGCTACCCGACCGCCCCTCTAACATTTCCTAACACCGGCAAGATGGCGGTTATTGCTAACGTTTCTATTACATTTCTCGCACTGGGTAAGGTCAACTGTGACGTTCGGTTTTAAGTCTTCTCTAGTAAATGGTAAGTTAAGATGTTTAGGTGTTGAACGTTGGGAAGGTGGCTATTAATGTATGAGTGTAGCTGGTAGCTAGATAGATTGTTTTCATGGAGAATGTTGGCCTCCGGTCCATGTTTATACAGGTGGTCAGTCAGCAATTTGCATAATAAATACACATAGCCAGGTGTCAAATTTCATTCGTATCCGTTGATGCCAAAAGCATATTGTATTTTTTATGTGTAGGGTACGACATAGATTTAGCAGGTACGTTTTTAACACCGGACACAAACCATCAAAAATGGTATTCATCTTCGACGTAAGCTTCATTGTGCACAGAGTGCACAGCCTTTTCTCTCTAGGAATATTGAAATACCTGCCAGTTCCTATTTTGAGAGAGTGAGTGAGTGAGTATGGTTTTACGCCGCTTTTAGCAATATTCCAGCAATATCACGGCGGGGACACCAAAAATGGGCTTCACACATTGTACCCATGTCGGGAATCCAACACGGGTCTTCGGCGTGACGAGCGAACGCTTTAACCACTAGGCTACCCGACCGCCCTCCTATTTTGAGACCATGGGAACTGCAACGAAAGTTTGCCATCATGTGTACACAGAATTTTGCAATTGTAACATGTTTAAGGTATAATTCCGTATCATTTCCAGTAACTGTTTTAGAATTGCTGAAAAGAAAGGCGTCCCAATACTGTTCAAACCAACATCTTAATCCTGCAATTAGTTCCCTGATAAAGGGTTCTTTACTACTTACTATTTGTGATTCCAATACATAGCCAAATCGAAACAACACACAGGCCATGTCACCGAGTCTGGCCGATCCATTCCGTCGCCTAACGATCGGCACGTGTTGCTTGAATTCAGTTCCAGCCCATATTCCCCACTAAGCCTGTATCAAGAACTCAGACAAAATTGTTATGGATGAGCAACTTCTTTATTACAATTTGGCGACGTTTCGGTGTAGAAACGTCGCCTAATTGTAATAAAGAAGTTGCTCATCCATAACAATTTTGTCTTAGTTACCATTCCAACTTCTAAATGCCACTCAAAGAAGCTGTATCAAGAAGCTAATAGGGTCCATATGACGTCAACAATGACGCGTAGGCTGCGACGTCATTACTATTGTGGCGTAACTTAATATCACGCAAACAATAAAGTTGGTATAATATGTTTTATTACCCACGTGTGTCATACAAGGTTGACCTTGTTTAATTCGTTTTGATTGGATAACCGTGACCTCTGTCACACGGACTACTTTTTTCATTCATACAAAATCGCCTGACGTCATTCATTTTGCAACTACAAGGCAGAACTGAAGCAATCTCATGAGAGCGAGAGATATTTCCGTAGAAATGTGCCTGATTTCTGATTGTGTGGCCCAAAATATCCCAAATGTGAACAATAACATTCTCTATCTCTAGCGTAAAACGCTGTGAGTAGATCACGGTTGTCTTTTCTTATTCCGGTGGTGACCTTGCCCTTCGTTCGAAGCTGTCACTGACATGCAAGCAGGTTTGAGTTTCACGTCTTCAGTATAGGGTTGTACAGTTAACATGAATGTCTTTGGGGAACACTCTGATTTCTCTCTTCCAAAATGGTACGGACATGGTATAAATTCAGCTGATAGATCAAGGAAACCGAACCATTTTGAATGCACAGACGGGACCCCAGCAGTGCGAGTGACCGATCAGCTGTTGGTCCGATATTCAAAGCACGCGCTAATGTGACTTTTCAAATTTTCTTATAGATCTAGATGTTCTGCGTACTTACAACATGGCGTTTGAATTACCATAAGTTGAAGAAATTCTTCCAAAAGGATCTTGAGCGACGGTGCTGTTGTGTTTGGAAAGACAATTGCAGGCGCATGTTGTTAATGAGTATGCACAGACATGTCAACAATGGCCATATTTGGGCATATTAATATTCATACGCAACCACATTTTGCAACCGGTTTAAGTTTGGTCTGTCAACGAACGAAAGTTGCTATGTATTTACTCTTGAATATATATTTAACGTGGGTAATAAATAAGATACCACACTCATTCTCGTCAGATACCATCTTTACGAAACTCGTGATCTTTCTATGGTATCTGACGAGATTAAGTGTAGTATTCTCTATTTACGTCAATAATGGTCTCTTCGTGACATCAATACTTCTGTGAGTCGCGTGAAATCCTTATCCTCTGTATGCAGGTATATTAACTCGAATATTTTACCCTTTGGGCAATAAGCAACGATATCAGCTTCATCAGCTCCAGATCGTTAATATGAAAGGTCAAAACAGTATCAAACTACATGCTTGCCCGAAAAAATGTACATACAGAATGATTTATATGTAAAAATCAAGAGCCGAAATGGGTTCCAATGTTGTAACCATGGTTCAATAAGCATACTACTATGACAAATTCTTCGAAATGTCCTTGAAAAGTTGTTGTTTTTTGTTAAACTAAGCAATTTTGAAGAAGTTGAAAACTGTATAGACAAGTATCCATGACATGAGAGATCATTTGATTAACATATGCTGAAGTTTTTTCCATAAAACATGTACTTTTCATTTAACGCGTGCAATATCCCACTCAATGTGTGTGTGTGTGTGTGTGTGTGTGTGTGTGTGTGTGTGTGTGTGTGTGTGTGTGTGTGTATGTGTGTGTGCGTGTGTGTGTGTGTGTGTAGTGCTAGCTCACTGAGATACCATGCCGCAGTTTAAACTGAATACCCCACTCAGACACTGTATACTGTTTCAAATCCTTAATGCCAAGCGCCATGAAGGGTAAGAGCAAATACGATCTAAAAACGTCTTTCGGTATGACGCGGCTGGTGATTGCACCCCAGACCTTTCGCTCTCAGAGGGGCGGTCGGGTAGGCTTGTGGTTAAAGCGTTCGCTCGTCACGCCGAAGACCCGTGTTGGATTCCCGACATGGGTACAATGTGTGAAGCCCATTTCTGGTGTCCCCCGCCGTGATATTGCTGGAATATTGCTAAAAGCGTCGTAAAACCTCACCCACCCACCCACTCACTCACTCACTCACTCACTCACTCACTCACTCGGTCTCAGAATTTACATCAAACTTTTGTCTATGAAATTATTTATATTAAATAATTTGATTTAATAATTCAATATAATTTATTTATATTAAATAACTAACTAAATAAACCAAAGAATTATTGTTTTCTTTAACTAACACACAACTTTCCTGTGCTGTATGAGATAACACACTACCGTCACATGGATATTACGAGGGTTTATTGATCAGTTCTAAGCCTCAAATAGTCATAATTTTGTGTAATAGTGGAATCTTTTCTTGTGGACATTCCGTGATGTTTCAAGGGAAAAACACAAAACCTCAGTTTTGAGCAAATTGTTTCATCCAAAGTCACAAATCGTTACAAGGACTTTTCTTGAGGCTTAGAACTTATTAATCAACCCTCGCACACTCTAACCCTAACTTTGCACCTTCAACATGACATAATACAAATTGTCAATGCAAAAGAAAAACAAGCCTGCCGAAACAGATTCCACTTGGCGTAAAGGGCAAATAGCTGTAGAAATGATATGAATGGACCACTGTAAAGGGGAAAGCATGTCCTGCCCCACCGGTAGCACCCGTATTCCTACAATTTGCATAAAAGTTAGGATTTATTGCCTGACGCAGCCCATCAGTATCCCTGCCATGTAAACAAACCAGACAATCAAGTGATCGATGAACCAGAAAATCCAGTAATACGGGAGTACCATTACTGATTTTGTTGAAACAAATAAAAAAAGATTTATGTCTGCAGTGTAGCTCTTCCAGATTGAAGAGTGAATACAACCTATATTTTATTTCACCCTCTGGAGAAAGTACTGGTATGCGAAGATCCGGGTTGGAAAATGTCTTCAGCAACTCCTGCTTACCATAAAAGGCGACTATGCTTGCCGTAAAAGGCGACTAACGGGATTGGGTGGTCAGGCTCGCTGACTTGGTTGATGCATGTCATCGATCCCAATTGCGTGGACCGATGCTCATGATGTCAGTCACTGGATTGTCTGGTCTAAACTCGATTATTTACAGACCGCCGTCTTTCAGCTGGAAAATTGCTTGGTGCGGCGTTAAACAACAAGCAGAGAGAAACAGAGAGAGAGGTGTGTATTTCAATACACATGTGTATGAACTGGTCCGTATTGATTATAAATAACCTGTCATTCTAACGGGGCTATTTTGTTAATGTCTGGGACGACATCCCGCGTTTAGGTTAATGGCAATGTTAACACGACTAATTTGTCTTTTTCCAATAAAGCGTGACAGCTGTTGGCATGGCTTCCCGTCCTGACTCGTTACAGCAACTCCGTCCACCGACGACCTGAACAGTGGTTGACGCCGGCAAGGAAAAACATCAATGGGTGGTTGAATGTTGTTTGACGCCAATCATCATTATTCCAGTTACATTAACGGCGGCCTAGGTACCAATAGTCGACCGCCTCCGTGGTCTAGTGTTAGAGCGTCCGCCCGGAGGTTCGATCCCCGGGGTTCGATCCCTGGCCGCGTCATACCAAAAGACGTTAAAAGATGGTACTTGTTGTTACCCTGTCTGGCGCTCGGCATTAAGGGGCTAAAACAAATACTGGTCGGCTCGGAGACAGTATCCTGTGTCTGAGTGGGGTATTCATGTCAAACGGCGGCATGGTTTCTCAGTGAGCTAGCACTATACATCGGCATCAGCACGGACTAGTACAAGCAGCCACACGCACGTGCATGCACGTCGCTATGTAATAGCTATAATATTGGACGAGACGTTGAACCACATTTTACCTCACCACCTGGGTCAGCCATCAAACGTATGTGAATTACACTAAATGTGACTGATTTGATCAATCACAAAGAGTCGAATGAAACATATGTCAAATTGAACACCTTGAGATATTTCAGTTTTGCACTGTGTGTTACAAGCCTCAAATCATCACCTTCTTGGAAACGTAATCAGAAATGCCTTATCGAAAATATAACTATTCTAAAAGTGAGGCAAAAGTAAGATACGTTTCAAGCGCATGGGGGATACCTCTCATTTGAGCACGTCACACGGGTCATTGATGTTCGAAATTCACATTTGTGTGTTGATGTTACCATCTGTCTGTTCAAAATGGCAGCCTCCAGGGAATCAGAAAATGGAATTTTTGCCCATTTAATAGATCTAATTCTGGTTTACATACAAATGTGCAAATTTTCTTCATCTTGATTTAATGTTATTGTGTTTTATACACTTAATGACAATTTCAGTGGAGTATCCTTTGAAAATGACATGGGGCTGTTATTTGAGCATTAAAAATAAATACCAATAAATTAGGCTTTTTAAACATGTATCTATCTCTTTCGTTCGTTCATGAGTCTTGTTTAACACAGTCAGCACTGTTACAGCTTTATCTGAGTGGCCTGTGAATAGTCGAGTCTTAACCAGGCAAACCAGTCACAGAAGGCATGCGCGAACCACGTCATCGGTGCGCGACAACACACACTGAAACAAATCACTTAGCATTATCTGATCAAACTTAGTACCCATTTTCGTCGCCGCTTAGAACGAGCTCTAACCTCGGGTCCACGGCTCTACTTAAATGCAATTGGCTGGATCCATTCCTGGTGACATTCTGAACGCCGGATGTCGGAATGATTGCATATAATTTGACATTTCATTTGCTCTATTAGGACATTGGGATATTCTGTGACATCTAGCACATCGACTGGAGTCAGGATGAAGTTTGTGATATGCGTTGCGGTTTTGGCTCTCCTCTCATCTGGTAGGTAAAAAAGGTTGTAGTTTATCTCAATGTAAAATACGCATCAAAAGCACAGTAAAGTTCCAACTCTCAGGCACCATATAGTTAAAATTAGATCAGCGGAGAAAGAGTGAACACAGTTGTAATTGGCTAGCGCTTTCAGTGTGAGTATGGTTTTACGCCGCTTTTAGCAATATTCCAGCTATATCACGGCGGGGGACACAAGAAATGGGCTTCACACATTGTACCCATGTCGGGAATCGAACCCGGGTTTTCGGCGTGACGAGCGAACGCTTTAACCACTAGGCTACCCGACCGCCCCGCTAGCGCTTTCAACTCGTAACGGTATCGGGGACACGGGTGGCCCAGTCGTCTAAGGCGCCGCGATTCGCACCGCAGAGTTGCGTCCCTTGGGCACGCCAGAAACCTATGATTGTGGGTTCGAATCAAGGTTCGCCCCGATTATGTTTCTAGGTTTGTCAGCACAATACCTGTGCTCGTGGGTTTCACCGAAGTGGTAAACGTCAGAGACCTGCATCACTTCGGGCTTTCCTCCCACATTAAGCTGACACTCCGTGATATAACTTGAATACTGATAAAAGCGGCGTGAAACCCAACTCACTCACTCACTCACTCACGTAACGGTATCATCAGGCCCTAACAGGCCACGAAGCTGTAACATGTGATGAATAGGTGTAAAACTGTGTTCAATCTTACTCCGATAAAGCGCAATTGGTGCTCTTTGTGATATCCACTTCTTCCTTTATGTCCTATTTCCAAACGTCCTGCACTTCAAATTTTGTGTTCTAAGTATACTTCATGTGCTTTCCTCCTTGACAAATTGTCCTGAACTCTTTGAAGACATGGTATCCGGCCTTGAGTGGCTTAGAAGGAGAGAAAGTGAACCAGTATCAAATCTGTTACTTTCTGCTGCATGCAGTTATGTATTCGAGCCAGTCATGCACATCCTGGGAACACCAGCGTTCGAGGATCTTATCGAAAATGGCCACCTGAGCCTAGACTGCAGGTAAGAATTATAATTCGTAAATCAAAAACATTAATGTGTCATGATTATTAAAATCTCTTTTAATGCTAAATCTACCAACAGAGTTTTATTAATTTGATTTTCTCACCTTCAGAAAGTAACTTCAGGTGAACAATTGACTTGTCTGTGCGTGTGTTTGTGACTGATGACACCGGTGGGGCAGAATACGCTCACGTTTGAGCGAACATATGGTATCTTCACTATTTGATGGTGATTTAGACATAGTGGGATTTGGACGTTGGCATTCAGAAGAGATTTCATATGATTATTGAAAACTCGTTTTTAAAAGTTAAATATACCAACAGCTTTTTATTAATTTGATTATCTCACATTAAGAAAGTAACTTAACATCTTAATAGTTAGCCAATACACTTATGCTATATACCGTGCTCTTTTCAGCCCACAGTCCTTGGCAAAAGTAGATGAGTGTCAACGCTCTCCATCTTTACGTGATTCATTATACCTACAATTAAAACTGCCCGCCGCCATGAGCATCTTCTGTAGCCACAAAACAGGTACACGCATTTTTAACTTTATATTATAAATTTCATCTGAATTGTTATTCACATTCAGTGGCAGTAAGAAACACTGGATAGACAAATTATTACAAGTTATTCACAAGATCCATCTTTAGATATCGTCAATGCTTGACTGTATTTTATACTATGTACAGAACAACGGTACACATATTTGAGACATTGCTTCCATTGAGTTGTAATGCATTCAGAACAAAGGAATGAAGTAGGGGACAGTGTCTTTCAAGTCTGAATTACGATACTTAACAAATGAAAGTATATTAATAGATATTATTATGCCGATCAGTTAAATTCAGTATAGAAAACCTGTAAAAACATTCTCGAGACAAGGAAAACACTACCCAAGATTACTACGATTTACTATGTCAATGTGATTTTACGCCACATTATCATAATAAAACATCAGATAGTATGTTTAGTTTAAATATTTCTTTCACAGACATCGAGAAAGACGCGTCATGTTGGATTGGTAGAGACATGCTGACGGCTGCTATGTCATGTCGCAATAGTGACAGGTAGGACAACTGTACGATGTATACCTACATCCACAATGTCTTATAATAACTTAAGACACGGGTAGGGGAAATGTAAAAGTGTACATATGGATGCCTAAAGATAATCGACCTTCATCCACTCAGTTCACAGAAAAGACAAGATGACTACTCTTACTGACCAAGCTTGCCAGTCCACCAATACAATTAGTGAGTGAGTGAGTTGGGTTTAACGCCGCTTTTAACAGTATTCCAGTTTTATCGCGGCGTGTCAGCTTAAAGTGGGAGGAAAGCCCGAAGTGATGCAGGCCAATACAATTACATGACACGTTTGAACCTACATGTATAGCTTGTAACACGGTTATGAGACTTTCAAACACAAATCGAATGGAAACATTAACACAGGGGGCTTCTTTTAGCGACCTGGTAGGCATGGTATTTTTCTAAATACGTATGTTTGTATATTCTGCCTTCAGGAATGTCTTTGCCGAGTGTGCTGAAAGACGTGTGGGCAACGTCACCGGATGCACTAGTACTACAGGCGCCATCATAGGACGGATGATTTTGGAACTATCTGATTAGATGTACATGAAATTATTAAACGAGTCCCAACATCACGTAACAGAAGGAATTTTATATTAAATTTGTTTGCACAAATGTCATCGTCTTGATACACCCATTTAAAATTCAGTTTTATCCTTGTTATCATGTTGACGTATATATCCACACCTCCCTTTATAGTATCGCCGCCATTTGTGTTTCCAAATATCAGTTTTGATGCGTACAGCTTGTCGCATGAAAATAGATCATGTCGTATTTCATACAAATCACGTCCAACAAGTTGCATACGTCAAAAGTTGGTCCGACTGGCGTGTTCAATCGATCCAATGTGTTAAATGCAACAAATTGTATACAACTAGTTGAATCCAGTGAATGCTCCTTAACACTGTTATGAGTTATGAGGCAAATGGAATACCGTTTTAATTGGAACTATATCTTTACATGAATGTATACATTTGGGAAAAGCTAAGGACTCCCAGAAATGTTTAATGACTAATAAAGCAAGTGCTGGGATGAAATTACTGAAACGATTAGCTCGAATAAACGAATATGCTTAGCATATGCAATGCTTACCCTCTGACAATTTTAATCACGCTATTGTTGATGATGATGTTGGAGATTTAAGGAGCGCTTCCGGAGGAGCCGATTTCGCACTCTATTTGAAAGCTATTGAAACACAACCACCGTATGTAGAGAGTACGTACATACGGCGATAACAGGTGATATTTTTGGATAGAAATGTCACTTTGAGTCCCAAGATGACACCCGAAGTTCAAAGGTTCCGCAGCCAGTAAGCACTCCACGTGCCAGGATGGAGGCCCCACCCTGCTTCTCACCCCTCCAGTCAGACGTCAGATCTGCTGAAGGAGCAACTGGAGCCACCCCCGAGGCAAAGGGGCAAAGGGGCTACAGTGCATGTTTACGACGCCCTGATGTCCCTGGCTGTCCCAAATGTGCTTCGGATTCAGGTGTGGACTCGTGGCGAGGCACTGTCCTGGAACGATTGTATCATCCATGTACTGATGTCTTGTGGCGATTGTGTGGTTGTCGGGGCTAACAACTGGTTGCCTTGACCATGCGATCATATAATCTATGTACATGCATATAATAAGACAAATGTAATGTGAAGAATAAGCACCATCTGTGTATATATTTAGTGAGGGAGTGAGTTGAACTGTGTAACAATATTCCAGTTGTATCACGGCGTGTCAGATGTAGGAGGAAAGGCCGAAGTGGCGGAGATCTAAGACGGTTACCGCTTGTTTGAAACCACGAGCATGGGTATGGTGCTGACAAACCTAGAAACATAATCTTGGCGATCCCACATTCGAACCCACAATCATAAGTTTCTGGCGTTGCCAAGGGATGCACAGCGATTCGTGGCGCCTTAGACCACTGGGCCACCTGTGTTCCCGTGTATACATTAAGACAAATGGCATGTGAAGGAGGGCCATGTGGCTTCCATCTCATACATGGACATACATGCATGAAGGAAAATGTCATATCGTGAAGATGGGCGATATACCTTCGTTATCATTTGTATATGTGAGTATAAGAAACATGAATGCTTGGCAAGGTAGATGGATGGATCACAGATCAACACAGTCACCTAACTTATCATCATCCACTCACAGACCAACACATTGACCAAACTGATAATGATTCACTCACAGATAAGCAGTCACCTAACTTTTGTTTGTTTGATTTGTTTGTTGTTTAACGCCGCACTCAGCAATATTCGGCTATATGACGAGTCCATGCATAGTCCAAAAGTCATTCAAAATCACGTAACGAAATCGACGTCTTTTTTGACAATTTGAAGTTTGGAACTGATTAAGGGTTACTGAAGCTATTCTTTTTTCAACATAGTCCTTGATTCAAGTTGATGTTTTTGGTAAATACATGTATTCCACTTTGGGGTTTGTTGTTTAACGCCGCACTCAGCAATATTCCAGCTATATGACGGCGGTCTGTAAATAATCGAGTCTGGACCAGACAATCCAGTGATTAATATCATGAGCATCGATCTATACAATTGGAATCGATGACATGCATCAACCAAGTCCGCGAGCCTGACCACCCGATCCCGTTAGTCGCCTTTTACGGCAAGCATGAGTTACTGAAGACCTATTCTATCCCGGATCTTCACGGAACGTCTAATTGATAATGATCATTTGTATATATGTGAGTATTAGAAACAATAATGCTTAGCAATGTAGATGGGTGGATCACAGATTAAAACAGTCACCAAACTGATAAAGATCAACACAGATCAAAAATCACCTAACTGATAATGATCCACTCACAGACCGACACAATCACCTAACTGATCATGATCCACTCACAGACCAACACAGTCACCTTACTGATCATGATCCACTCACAGACCAACACAGTCACCTAACTGATCATGGTCCACTCACAGACCGACACAGTCACCTAACTGATCATGATCCACTCACAGACCAACACAGTCACCTTACTGATCATGATCCACTCACAGACCAACACAGTCACCTAACTGATCATGATCCACACAGATCAACACAGTCACCTAACTGATCATGATCCACTCACAGACCAACACAGTCACCTAACTGATCATGATCCACACAGATCAACACAGTCACCTAACTGATCATGATGAATAGACAATATGAAAGAACGCACTGCATTGACCACTCGTTGTCTTATGTTGACTGCCCTCATAGGCGGCTATTTACAATTTAATGACGGCCAGCTACATTAACTGCAATCCAGCACATCCACGTAGACTGACATTTTAAAACTTATAAATTATGTATAATTATGAATTATATGTATTATTGTATGATTTGTTAAATAATTACAGTCGACGTGGGCAGGCAAATGTTAAGGTCAACAAAATATGTTTACTCAGTCCTTTTTGTCAAACTTTTGTTATTTTTAGTTTGATAATTACAGGCACTTCAATCTGGTGCAAAGTTTCTTTTGCGGTTCAGTTTTTGGGGATAGCAGTTGGTACCAGGTTATAACTTTCAAGGCCTCAATAAAGCTTTCAAACAGTTTTGTGGCAGACATGGGGCAGACATTTCCAAATTTGACGCATCAGTCTCACAAGTGTTGTCCGATGCAGTTCCCTATGTTGACTCGGACCACATGTTCCTGTGTTTCTTAAGGTGAACAATTGACATGCTTTTGGATGTGTTCGGAGGCGTAAGTTACGCTCACCCTGTCTCGAAACCTGGTATCACCACTATTTCATAGGGATTCATAAACATGATGCAGTCGGAATCGTTCAATCGACTCTGCTTTTAGCAGAGATTTCATGTGGCTATTGACAGGGTATTGTCGCTTTAAATTATAAATCTTGAATCATGAATGAGTGAGTGAGTGGGTATGGTTTACGCCGCTTTAAGCAATTTTCCAGCAATATCACGGAGGGGGACACCAGAAATTGGCTTCACACATTGTACCCATGTCGGGAATCGAACCCGGGTCTTCGGCGTGACGAGCGAACGCTTTAACCACTAGGCTACCCGACCGCCCCTTGAATCATGAATACTAACAAAGTCACACTTCATTATTGTTTTTAATATAGTTACATATGGCTTGTACTTTGCTTACACAATATGTATTTTTTCTTTATCAAAATGAATCGTTAATATGAAACGCCTTTAATGATTAGTTCTATTTCTGTAAAATAAATGAAATGCCTGCTACCTACAATCATGAGATTTGGAGACAGCATTTGAGAAATATTGTAACATGGTTTTCTCCATTCTTTTGGAAAGATTAATACTGATTTCACATTACAGGGCATCAGCATCACAACGCATTAGAGTTAGTGGTTGAATGATGTTTAATAGTACATCTATATCCCATCTACGGTGCCTTTACCACACAGACTAGTGGTTGATAACGTAAACAACGATGCACGCCATGGGTTTACAGTGACACAAAGACAGTCACAGACAGTCGAACGAGTCCCATTCGTATATGTATATGGAGGTATAATTGATAACCAAGGACACAAAGTAGATGATAAACAATGCCAAATTAGGATATCTAACCAATACACACAATTCAGATATGCCTCACTTATGGAGGGTAACGTTCCTCAAGTGAGGAAACAGGCTATTGTGAGACGCTGCTTATCAAGAAACCAACTCCTCTCCAAGAACTCCTCAAGAATTATACACTGGAACCTAAGATCAGTATTCACCTGAAGAAGCAGCCCTGAAACGTCATTATTAAGAATAAAGAAGTTATTATCTTTAAAAAAGTGTCATATCCTCTGAATCTAAGTCAACGGGTTGGTTCCCGCTGAGTGAAAGAACATTTAGATTCCTGTCAGTACAGTGACGTACTACATCTGTGTACAGAGAGTCATACCACAAACACATCACTTCAGACGTCATTTAAAATTAGCATACCGTTTTTATTGGTTTCAACAAAATCAGTAAGGGTGCTATTGTGTCACTGGATGTTCTGGTTCATAGAGCACTGTTGTGCCGCCTCAGGCAGTAAATACTTATTTTTATATGTAAATTGTATGAATGGCGGGTGCTACCGGTGGGAAAGGACATGCTTACCCTTTCCGCGAACACCTGGTGTCTCTACTGATTTTCAGTGGTCCATTCATATAATTCACGGGGGCACAGGTGGCCCAGTCGTCTAAGGCGCCGCGATTCGCTGTGCAGAGTTGCGTCCCTTGGAAACGCCAGAAATCTATGATTGTGGGTTCGAATCCCGGTTCGCCCCGATTATGTTTCTAGGTTTGTCAGCACCATACCCGTGCTCGTGGGTTTCACCGAAGTGATAAACGTCTGAGACCTGCATCACTTTGGGCTTTCCTCCCACATTAAGCTGACACGTCGCGATATAACTGGAATACTGTTTAAAGCGCTGTTAAACACAACTCACTCACTCACTCATATAATTCACAGCTATTTGCCCTTTACGCCAAGTTGAATCAGTTTTGGCAGTAAATCTAGGATGGTTATTCTCTTGTATGGACAATTTATATTTCTACATGTTCAGTATGACCAGCTAGAAGCCATCGGTACCGATAGAGCTGGCATCCCTGTGTTATTGGTTCCGTTGGCTGCCTTCGACGTATAGACCATGGCGTTTTTCTAAACATATTACATACGAGATTTTGAATCTCTATCGATCAAAGACTGGTTGAGGTCGTACCTGTCAGGACGATACCAGTGCCATAGACGCCGAGAATATAATGCTACCATTTGGCTTTCCAGAAGTATCTGTGCTGGATCAAATATCATTCACACTATATACACCTCATGCAAATATTACTAGCAATCTTGGTCTTGGTATCTTGGTCTTGATACCCAGCTGTATTGCTTTCAAACTAAATAGCAGTTACTCTGTTCATGCAACATGTTCTGTTATGTCCATATGAACATACAACATAACTTGTGAAATGCCGGACTTCCTCATTGATAGCATGTCTGTGATATTGGGGGGTAAGCCCTTTAAGCAAGACGTAGGCACCAACTGTGCCCGCCTCTTTGCTGAATTATCTACTGATGCATAAGAATCGGAATTTCTGCTCGGTATTTGGCCAAGAAGTTTCAGGTATATTAATGATCTGATATCGTTCAATGATGGTCAAATAGCAAATGTCCTTCTACTGATATACCAACCTGAACTAGAAATAATAGAGATCAAAGGAACCACATCACCCGGTGTCGTCCCTGATTTTGACTATTCTCGTGTCATACAGACTTCAGGATATTTTCTTTGGCATAGATCTAAATTTGAAACGGATGTTCGGTAAAAGGGTAAGCCCTACAGGTAGTATCAGCCACTCACACAATTTGCATAGAAAACAAACATTTGTTGACTTGACGCCCCACAGCAGTTACCTCAAACAGGAAAACCATTATCATTTGAAGAGAATGTTTGAAGTTAAACCAAAGAACATTAATTTGATATCATAGCTTCTCTGACCGCTACCAGTAGGACATTAGTAGCACAGCACTCCGCATGTCCTGCATATCCTTGACTTCCGGCCGGGCGTTGTCGCGCACATTCCGATAGTTCTCACAATCGTTTGTTCATAATAATTATGATGATGCGTATAACCTTGAACTTCACTCTGCAATCAATTATGTCCACCTGGACTGACATTAAACTTTTAACTTACACATTAGCTATGATTATTACAAATTGATATATTATTATGACAGGCGACGTAAGAATGCAAGTGTTAAGGGCAGCAAGCTTGTTCCATTACTGACGCCTAACCTTTGTAAAGTTCACTTAAACAGATTTATAAAGGATACGTTGATGTGAACTGGTTACTCTTTTTGTGTACCAGTGATCGTTATTCTGCACGGAATTGAGAGAAGGCTTGACAGACATGATGGAAATTTGGAACTTTGTTCTTATTGGCTGCCTTGTGTCATGTAAGTACCTAGTGAGTGGCAAGTGAATACATAGTGAATGGATACATAAAAATGAGCTTCAGGGTAAGTATTGAATGAATGAGTGCGATGTTTGAGGAAGAATATGCTTCACAGAACGTACTAAGTGAGTGAGTGAGTGAGTGAGTGAGTGAGATTGTATATTTCAACAGAAAGGACTGATAACATAATATCATATGTATCAAATACGTCTTTTGGTGATGAATTGTAGTCATGAATCTTGAACACGTACGTAAACACCGACGTACCCACGTTTGATCAATGTTCTTAACATATGCATATGACATAAGATTCTGTTACACATTATTACTTTTCGAAAAACAAATAACCCTAACGATAATTTATGACAATTTATTCTTGATCATTATTCCTGTTTTGCCTCATTGATATTATGCCCTTGGATTAGTAGATGTGAATCTCTCAAGGAACGTATGTTTTACCTAAATTCATAGATACATCGTGAAAATGTGCTTTTTCTGCAGAAATCTACAACGATTCTTATATTCAAAGATTGACGGAAACATCTTACCATACCTTTGCATCGTAAATGATAGTCGGACAGGCATTTTTACTTACCCGGGGCACGGGTGGCCCAGTCGTCTAAGGCGCCGCGATTCCCTGTGAAGAGTTGCGTCCCTTGGGCACGCCAGAAATCTATGATTGTGGGTTCGAATCCCGGTTCGCCCCGATTATGTTTCTAGGTTTGTCAGCACCATACCCGTGCTCGTGGGTTTCACCGAATTGGTTAACGTGTGAGACCTGCATCACTTCCGGCTTTCCTCCCACATTAAGCTGACACGCCGCGATATAACTGGAATACTGTTAAAAGGGGCGTTTAACCAAACTCACTCACTCCTATGAAATAGGCAAGATCAACAATTTGTTTGGAAAGTCAACAACACCATTTCAGTTTCCACTGCTGAGTTCCAGCTACCGACTGAATGCAACTCCTGGCTCCAACAGTGCTACCAGGTCTCGTACCAGGAGGCTCTGATGACTATCTTGTTTTCCCCGTCAAGTCTTACAACAAAGGGCTCGCTCGTTGTCGACTGCTCGTAAGTACCTTAAACGTATTCCATATAAATCAGCTGGCGTATTCATTGGGCTTAAATGTATGCATGCAATAGATACTCGCTTGTATACACCACTCTACAAACGCCATTAGTGTAGTGTTTGCCGGACTAAATATTCCCTTGGTCGCGTGTATCCTATATACTTTCTTGTTCGTGTGTGTACAGCACTAAATATTCCACTTGGCGTATGTGTAAAGCACTAATCGTTCCCCTGGGCATGTGTATCCAGCCCTTAAAAAATCCTTGAATGTGGGTATATCACACTGAATTCTTCACTGAAGGTGGTGACTAAATACTTACTTGAATGTGGGTATATCACACTGAATTCGTCATTGAATGTGGGTATAAAACACTAAATACTTTCTTGAATGTGGGTATATCACAATGAATTCTTCACAAAATGTGGGTATAAAACACTAAATACTTACTTGAATGTGGGTATATCACACTGAATTCTTCATTGAATGTGGGTATAAAACACTAAATACTTACTTGTATGTGGGTATATCACACTGAATTCTTCACTGAAGGTAGGTATAAAACACTAAATACTTACTTGAATGTGGGTATATCACACTGAATTCTTCACTGAAGGTAGGTATAAAACACTAAATACTTACTTGGATGTGGATATATCACACTAAATTCTTCATTAAATGTAAGATTAGTATATCATTCATTCATTCATTCATTCATGTTTGGGTCGATCTTACAAAGATAAAATATATTGTTGTTATGATGAACCAATAAACAATTGATGACGTCATTTCGTAGTGTCCTGCCATGTGTCTGTTGTTTCCCTCAGAGCGGAGACGACCGCCGCTCGACAGCGATGTAAAGAAACAATGCCGATGCCCTTCTGTTCATTTCCTCTGTCGTTCGAAGCCACCAGCCAGTTTCGGTCCTTCCTGTGTGCAAATTCCGACGGTAAGCTGGACATAGTTTTTATAAGCATCTTATTCTAATTGGACGCCCTGGCGTATGCGTTATTAGCATACCATATTTCATTACATGCATACTGACATACGTTACTTCTACCAGGGTATTTCGTTTAGGGTATACACGATGAGGACATATGCATTATATATTGTTGTTTTTATGTGCTTCATAAACACATGCTCATTAAATAGTCGGAATCGTACAGTCCGAGAACAATGGGGAGTCAACTTGGTACCCGGGATGCAAGCGTGACATTTCGAAAGCGAGGTCCGCATATTTGCCATGTTTTTCCGCAATCTTGTCAAATACATTAGTGTCAAAGGGGACAGAAAATTCAATGATATAAATGATTTATCAAAAAGGACAAGATCAGGTTTGTTGGCCTGGATACGTCTAAGGCTGTAAATGGCCCTGAAGAATTTTGAATTGATCATTTTCCATGACGCCCTCTACATATTCCGGGTCGTACCATCGGTGGACCTCTGTGTCAAAACCACAAGCATGGCGAAGACGGTAATAAAATGATCGAGCTACACCATCATGTCGTTTAAGATACTTAGTTTGGGTAGCTGGGTATCCACTGACAATGTGTTGGACAATGTGTTGGACAGTCTCATTAAATTCATTACATATGCTACATTTCATATTTACATTTTGATGCAAAATCACACACTGACGGATACAAGTGGGAAGTGATTGGTCCTGAGCAGCAAACAGAAAGCCTTCAGCTTCACTTTTCAGGCCAGACAACTTCATCCAAGCGAAGGACTCTGCAGGATTACTGATCTTCTCAACACACTGCACATAAACTCGATGCAGTGGTCGTGCAGAATGCCTCTCCTGTCTGGGACGACTTGATATGGCACTTCGCTTGGTTGACACTCATTTCTGCACCGTCCAGCAGTACAGAACCATCAACAAAATCATCACCGACATGGAGATTATGTCCCACATCCTTGGCTCGTTTTAGAAAACTGTGGAATGCATTCTGGAGTTTGTCCCTATTATTATTATTATTATTATTATTATTATTATTATGCTGCTGCTGCTGATGATGATGATGATTATGATTAATATTATTATTATTATTATTATTATTATTATTATTAAGGAAATGCCAATGGAATGATATACCACGCACGAATGATTTTATGAGAGCTTTCTTCTTGACATCTGATTTTTTGTACTGTACCATGACTGTGAAATATCTGCATTCAAATGTATTTTGTAATAAAAGATGCCATGGACCATATGTTAGTCTGGCTGGTTCTGAGTAAATAGAAACATCAAAACCCTTTCCGTATTCTGAGAAATATATGAGTCGATTGTACGATTCCGACTTTATCACGGGCACGTGTTTATGAATCACTATCAAAGAAACATTTCTGATTTATTGCCTTCAAGTGAGTGAGTTGGGTTTAACGCCGCTTTTAACAGTATCGTGGCGTGTATTGCCTTCAAGCTCATACACATACCTCATACCTGAAGGAGGGGGAAGCTTTTAAGCCAAGGGCTGAAGCGTTCGATCCTCATGCTGAAGTTCCCCCACATTGGTATGATGGGTACCACTCCTTGGCGTCCACAAGTCATGTAGCTACCGTCTTACTAACAACGGCGTAATACATTTTGCAAATGTTGTCTTTGTAACTCCTTGACATTTATTTTTATAAATACTTACTTTTTTTATGAAAATTGTATGAATGACAGGTGCTACCGGTAGCGCAGGACATGCTTACCCTTAAGTGGTATCTGTTAAGGCAGAAAATCTAGGCTGGTTTTTTTTGCATTGACAATTTATATTTACTTACATTTCTACACTTTCCTTTTTATTAAAATAGCGTGAGTGGTGTGTGCTACCGGTAGAGTAGGACATGCTAACCCATTTCGAGAACACCCGGTGCCGTCACTGATTTTCAGTGTTCTAGTTATATAATTTTCATCACTGTTTTACCTTTTACGTCCAAAGGAATCTGTTTGTGCAGGTAATCGAGACTGGTTGTTCTTTCTCTTTGACATTTTATACTTACAGTAATCACAAGTAATGCTGAATGCTGGAGTGACCCTCGATTTCTTCAAACGTGGACCGAGTGTACTGACAGGCCCCGCGGGACCCAGTAAGTATATGAAGTCAAAGTGTAAAGTTAGCAAGTATCACGGGGATTAGATATATGTTTGAGGGCACGAAGGAGAATAGAACACTGTGTTAATATTAAGGATACAGGTTAAGGCATATTGTTCGGAGTATAGAAGTGTGAGGGTGGGTGGTTAAATACTGAAGAAGGTACTGGGGTTAATAGTATAGATATGTTGTCGATGAATGGATTAAAAGTATAGAACATTTGAGATGTAAGCGTAAAAGTATAGAACTTTTGGGATGAGGAGTTTTGGGATGGGTTTTTTATCAAAGCTTGCAGACACCTTCCAAGTGTATCCTTCCCACATTCCATCCAAAAGGTATGTATACATGTCACACTTCTTTTTCTTTCAGCATGAACACGGATGAAAATAAGTGTTAGGCTCAGAAGTTATTTGGCGCGTTATTGTGAAAACAATATTTCTTATGTGAAATCTATGACGCGTTATATATGTGAGACTAAATGGCTTAAAATTATGGAAGTGCGGCTATGGGGGTCACATATATAAGTATGAGAATCCAGGGGTTAATAATATCGTAGTGTTTAGCAATGGGGATTAGTAATATATTCATGTGAGACTAAACGGGTTAATAATATAGTAGTGTAAGACTACCGAGGTTAATGATATAGTTGTGTGCGGCTATGAGGTTTAATAATATATCAGTGTAAGACTACAGGGGTTAATAATATAGTTGTGTGCGGCTATGGGGTTTAATAATCTATTAGTGTAAGACTATAGGGGTTAATAATATAGTTGTGTGCGGCTATGGGGTTTAATAATATATTAGTGTGTGCCTCCAGGGGCTAATAGTATAGTTGTGTGCGGCTATCGGGTTTAATAATATATTAGTGTGTGCCTCCAGGGGCTAATAGTATAGTTGTGTGCGACTATGGGGATAAATAATATATTAGTGTAAGACTACAGGGGTTAGTAATATAGTCTTGTGCGGCAATGGGGTTTAATAATATATTAGTGTAAGACTACAGGGGTTAATCATATAGTAGTGTTCGGCTATGGGGTTTAATAATATAGTTGTGTGAGCCTACAGGGGCTAATAGTATAGTTGTGTGCGAATATGGGGATTAATAATATATTAGTGCAAGACTACAGGGGTTAATAATATAGTAGTGTGCGGCTATGGGGTTTAATGATATTTTAGTGTGAGAGTATAGGGGTTTATAGTTTAATAGTGTGTAAGACTGGGGGTTTAAAATATAATTATGTGAGACTATAGGGGTTAATAGTGAGGTTGTTTGGCGATGAGGGTTAATAATATATTAGCGTGAGACTGTAGGGGTTAATTATATAGTAGATAGTAGTGTGAGGTTGTGGGGTTGATAGTTATAATTCTTATTGGTTATGAGTTTTGACATTTTAGTAGTGCGTGGCTATGTAAAGATATATTAGTGTGAGGCTAGGGAGGGGCTTGCGGGGTTTGGGGGCGGGGGTAATATAGTAGTGTGGGGGGTAATAGTATTTTAGGCACCCGGGATTTATAGTGTATTTATGTGACTTACTGCGGGTTAATACTATAGTCGTGATTGAGGGCAAAATAAGGTTTGAGAATATAGCTGTTTGGGTTCAAATCACAGAATTTCCCATGATTATGACCGATGGTTTGTCTGTGGAAGTGCAAAACGTCTTGGACTTGAATCACTTTGGTCTCGAGGCGTTAATGAAACGCCTTGTTCTTGAAGCTTTTGTATGGGATATAGACTGTCATGTCTTTGCTCACATCACCTTATCGGACATACGTTATCTTTTGTTTCAGGTACCCAGGAGACTGTCTGGAGGAGAGACTGAGCACTATTCCAGCTAGTGTGTGTTCATCTTCTGCCGTGTCAGTGGTCAGTGAACTGCCAGGAATATTCATATCGGCTTTCGAGGACATGTGAAGAACAGCACCATGCATTACCTAATTCAACCAAAACTAAAGCACTAGATGGTTACCTCCATAATGATTATAAAGGTCATTGAGTTTTCTTACGGATCATCTTTGACCGGACCTGAAAACAGAAATAAATGGCATATGATTAACATTCTTTCATGTAAATGTTTTGTTCGTCGTTTGTGTTCGTCGTTTGAGATTGATGCACATTTCATAGCACCAGCACGTAATCGTTATGTCACCAGTGGTACTGATAGAATGTTGTCCAGCGTCGTAGAATTAGAGTGTAACGTTCTCTCTAATACTGCACTTTTGAGTTCAAGTCCGAAGTTAAAGAAACCAGAATAATCGATAATAATTCCGTAATGTACTCAACAACAAAAGTTCCACTGACACCATTATTTTAGTGTATTTTTCAAACAAGTAAAATTTGTTTTTCAATATTGTAGTACATGTATGGAATCAAGTCACAAAAACGCAACTGCTACAGAAAAGCATGCATTCCATGCAAAAGTTGACTTCTTGCAAGCCCCATGCATTTCACTACCCAAGAATGGGTATAAAAACATGTGCGTTAACGGGATTCCATATGCATTGTTTAGCATCGTGCTGACAACAACCACTCAGAAAAACAACAAAATTACGCAATTATTCAACATTACGCAATGCCACGCCTGTCCGAAAATGAGCGTCTGGTATGCAGGATCGAGTCAACGTGATGCTGCAAGACAATTTAACGTCCACAGAAACACCATTTGGTGTTTATGGCAACGTTGGCAATAGACGAATGCAGTCAGAGACCATCCTCGGAGTGGCAGGCCACGCGTAACCAATAATCGACAAGACAACTGGATTCGAATAACACACCTACGAAATCGATTCCAGCCAGCAACAGTGACTGCATGAAGCATCCCTGGCCTTCGCCGAATATCTTCGCAAGCCGTACGTCTTCGCCTCAGATGTGCAGGGATTGTCGCCAGGAAAACCCGCCAGACGTCCCATTTTGACAGGAAACTACCGTCAAGCACGTCTACAGTGGTGCAGACAGCGTCCACGCTGGACGGCCATGCAGTGGGGACAAGTTCTATTCACTGACGAGTCTCGTTTTCACCTCAGCCACAGCGATGGACGGATTCGATTGTACCGACGTCGAGGTGAACGTTACGTCATTCATTGCGTCATGGAAGAAGATCGGTTCTGGGGCGGCAGCGTTATGGTATGGGATTACAGCAAGACAGAGGACCCGTTTGATAGTGGTAAGGGGAAATCTCAATGGACAGCGCTACCGCGACGAGATCATCGACCCTGTTGTTCTACCGTTTTTGCGTCGTCATAGCCCAGGCATTACCTTTCAACATGACAACGCTCGGACTCATATTGCTCGACTTGTTCAGGATTCTCTTCAGCAAAACAACGTGAATGTCATTCCCTGGCCGGCTCGCTCCCCTGATCTCTCTCCAATCGAGCACATGTGGGATGAGATGGATCGGCGCCTTCGACCGTCAACCACGTGTTCCACAGACACTCCAGGAACTTCGAAACATGCTCAAGCAGATATGGACAGATATCCAACAGGACCTTGCCATTATACAGACGATGGTCAATGACTTAACATAGCTGATGGTCAATGACTTAACATAGACGATGGTCAATGACATTATACAGATGATGGTTAATGAAATTACACAGACGAGTGAGTGAGTGAGTTGGGTTTAACGCCGCTTTTAACAGTATTCCAGTTATATCACGGCGTGTCAGCTTAATGTGGGAGGAAAGCCCGAAGTGATGCAGGTCTCAGACGTTTACCACTTCGGTGAAACCCACGAGCACGGGTATGGTGCTGACAAACCTAGAAACATAATCGGGGCGAACCGGGATTCGAACCCACAATCATAGGTTTCTGGCGTGCCCAAGGGACGCGACTCTGCACAGCGAATCGCGGCGCCTTAGACGACTGGGCCACCCGTGCCCCCTACACAGACGATGGTCAGTGACATAATATTGCCTAGGGTCAATGCCATTACATAGACGATGGTCAATGCCATTATACAGACGATGGTCAATGACATTATACAGATGATGGTCAATGGCAATATATATTGACGATGGTCAATGCCATTACAAAGACGATGGCCAATGCCATTATACAGACGTTGGTCAATGGCATAATATAGACGATGGTCAATGCCATTACATAGACGATGGTCAATGCCATTATACAGACGATTGTCAATGGCATTATACAGACGTTGGTCAATGGCATGACATAGTCGATGGTCAATGCCATTATACGGACGATGGTCAATGCAATTATACAGACGATGGTCAATGACATAACATAGACGATGGTCAATGCCAATATGTAGACGATGGGTCAATGCCATTATACAAACGATGGTCAATGCCATTACTTAGACGATGGTCAATCACATAATAAAGACGATGGTCATGCCATTATATAGACGATGGTCAATGCCATTATACAAACGATGGTCAGTGGCATTATACAGACGTTGGTCAATGGAAATATACAGACGATGGTCAATGGCATGACATAGTCGATGGTCAATGACATTATATAGACGATGGTCAGTGCCATTACATAGACGATGGTCAATGCCATTACATAGACGATGGGACAACACAATTATACAAACGATGGTCAGTGACATAATATAGACGATTGTCAATGCCATTATATAGTCGATGGTCAATGCCATTATACAAACGATGGTCAATGACATTATACAAACGATGGTCAATTCCATTATGCAGACGATGATCAATGGCATTATACAGACGATGGTCGATGCCATTACAAAGACGATGGTCAATGATATTATATAGACGATGGTCAAAGCCTTTATAAAGATGATGTTAAATGGCATTATACAGACGATGGCCAATAACGTTATATATACGAGGTTCAATGCCATTACACAGACGATAGTCAATGACATTAAATAGACGATGGTTAATTACATTATATAGACGAGGTTCAATGCCATTATACAGACGATTGTCAATGACGTTATATTGACTATGGTCAATGACATTATATAGACGAAGGTCAATGACATTATACAGACGATCGAAAATCAATTACATCTTATAGAAGATGGTCAATAACACATATACGCTGGTACATGACATCATATAGACGATAGCACATGACGTTAAATAGGCCACGGTCAATGACATAACAAAAACGTTCTATGATAAAAGCGACAAAACCCTTTCCATATTCATAAGAAATCTCTGCTCAAAGCAGAGTCGATTGTACGATTCCGACAATATCATAAGCATGTGATCATGAATCACTATCAAATAGTGATGATACCAGGTGTTCGCGAAAAGATGAGCGTATCCTGCCCCACCGGTGGCACCCTTCACAAATACATGCAAAGGCAAGTCAATTGTACGCCTGAAAAAAACACGATAACATATGTTACATGTACGTAGACATACACGAATACCCTGGACTTTTCCTGGACGATCATGAAAAACGTTTTCGGCTGTTCAATACGACCGCTCAACATGACCAACACACCCGTTAATTATTGTCTTTGTACAGTAAACTACGGTTATAACGAACTCAAAGAGACCACTTATTTTAATTTGTTATAACCGTAGTTCGTTATAAGCAAATGTGGGGAATATATACAGCAAATAGACAGGATCAAAAACATAGTTCGTTATATCCGTCAGTTCATTATAAGCGTGTTCGTTATAACCGTAGTTCACTGTATATTTGAAATTGTCTTACGGTCTGACTGATTCAGTGTCATAACACGGGTAGACTGCCTCCGTGGTCTAGTGGTAGAGCGTCCGCCCGGAGAGCAGAAGGTCCGGGGTTTGATCCCCAACCGCGTCATACCAAAAGATATTAAAAGATGGTACTTGTTGTTACCCTGTCTGGCGCTCGGCATTAAGGGGCTAAAACAAGGACTGGTTGGCTCGGAGTCATTATACTGTGTCTGAGTGGGGTATTCATGTTAAACTGCGGCATGGTATCTCAGTGAGCTAGCACTATAAATCGGCATCAGTCCGGACTAGTACAAGCAGCCACACAAACACACACACGTACATGCACGTCGCTGTATAAGTGCAATAATCTTGGACGCGACGTTAAACCCCATTTCACCTCACCCACCTCATAACACGGTTAGGGTTGAATAACCCTGTAATGTTAATAAATAAATAAATAAATGATATCCCATGATTAAAGTAAGAAACAACAAATTAATGCCGGGTTGAGATAACACACTACTAATGTACCTGTCACTTGAGTTGCAAATCATATATGGATCTATAGGTCTCAGCACATGACAGTAAGAACTGTGAAGTCTGTTGAATCAATACCACCGACATATTACCAAACATAAAAATGATTTTCCTCCAATAATCAAACCTCCATAGGTAGAATTCCATACGCGTACATCATTGATTTCTCCCGCATCTGTACAGCGGAGACCGCAACGACAATGAACACTGGCAACTTGCATCTGATTAAACAACTGTGTTGACTGACAGGTATTTGTTTCCTACCCGTGCAAGGAGCTTATAATGAATGTGCTAATTGGTACTGAGCGTTCAGCTCCTCACATTGCTTGTCATGCAGCAGACGGATTCGTGTCCGTCCCGTGGTAAATAATTCAGTTGGCTGATGTGCTGATCTGCGTCACACGGCCCTTGTTTGAATGTATCGATCTAGTTAGTGTTGATATACCACAGGACAGGTAGAACACGGCCACAGCCTTCACTCAGGTAGGCAGGAATACCGACATGGCGACGTTCACGACGGCAGCCTTGGTACTCGTTGTGGTCGTATTTGTTATTCTACCCCATGGAGGCAACGGTGCTGCTACCGACAGACCAACAATAGGTAAGTTCTTCATATATACTTATATAATATATATAATTATATAAGATGTACATACATTATTCATAACTATGATGTACATTTTGTTGTGGTGTACGGCTCGGATCTTAACATTCTGTGATCAGTTTATTACCAGTCGAGATTAAACAAAATATCATGCTGAATTATATGTAAACTGTAATTTTTATGGTATTGGGAATGCGAAGATTGGTGCTGATTGGTTCAGTAGACACATATTGGGGACAGTAGCTTATCATTTGTGATGGCACTGACTACATACCTGGAGCCCAGGGACGGCGAACATGGACTGAAGGCAACACTACACCCGATGTGCACGCATACAAACACCTTCTTCTAGGACGAAAAATGATGAACGGCAAAACAATGTTAATCGTGGCAATGCCTTTCCACGTGAAATCCTCTAATTTACCTTGAAATGGCTGTATTAACTAATTAAGGGCATGGGGTAAATATGTTGACGTTTCAAGAATACAACTTTCGGAAGGGACCGAATTTTCGGGGTGTCAGCTGACGAGGTTATTAATAGTAAGCTTGGGTATTCTGTTCCCAAAGGATTTGAGACTGCAAAATATATTCACACGGATCTGCTGATCAGGGTTGTCACGTCCTGCGTTTTGAGTTTAAAAACTTCGCCCAACTGTTTTGCAAAAGGAATATATTTCTTAACGTTTTTCTTTACTTATAAGCAGCAAAATCTCTGCACTTGTATACAGGAGAAGTGATTCAATATCAACCTTTTTTATTAGTTTCAACAAAATCAGTAATGGTACTCTCGGGTCACTGGATTTCTGATTCATCAATCACTTGATTGTCTGGTTTGTTTACCGGCTGGCATGCGTACTGAGCTGCTGCATCAGGCAAGAAATAGATACCTTGGCGGGTGGTACCGATAGGGCAGGACATGCCTACCCTTTTCGCGAACACCTGGTGTCATCATTGATTTTCAGTGGTCCATTCATATAATTTCCACAGCTGCTTGTCCTTTACGCCAAGTTAAATCTGTTTCGGCAGAAAATCCGGGCTGGTTATTCTCTTGCATTGAAAATTTATATTAACGTAACAGGGATGTAGAGAACGATACATGAGAACAAGTATCACTGTTCCTTCCATTGATGCTATTGATAACATCTATTATCATCGTTAATAATATCATTTTTATTGATTAATTATTGCTGAATGTTATTCATGTTTTCAAAGGTTGTTGTTATCAAACACACATTCGTTTCGTTTATCCAGAATATTCTTAAATATCAAGATCATGACAATGGCTCAGTCCAATGGTCAGATGTTCGATGTACGCTTAGCAATCGATGTTGTGAACGATGCTTATAAATATTTAATATCGTGACAAGGGGTTGTGAAAATATGGGACAACGATGATCAACGACGCAACCCCAATAGAACTAACGATCGACTTTCAGATGAATATGCTGTCATTAACTTTTAAATCCTACATTATTATTTCGTCTACTTCAATACTGAAACTTAAACTTCAGAACTAAGAAAAAGAAAAACTGTCTGCCACACAAATGTATTGTAACAAGATGTGTTTTTGTGTAAAAAATATTCAGGTTCATGGTCTTAATTATACAGACAACCTGGTATTATAGCTGTAGCTGAATAAAATATCCAGTCTCAACCCACACACACACACACACACACACACACACACAGAGAGACACACACACACGCACGCACGCAGGCACAAACACACATACACAAACGCACACACATACACACACACACGCACTCACACACGCGATGTATTACATACCATATATCTGTCTACCCGGTACTGGTTACATCATATTTTATGTCATCATATCGTCTACGGAGTGACCGGACTGTAGAGGTCGCACTATAATATTCCGAGTCATTTGTGCGTGCGTGCGTGCGTGCGTGCGTGCGTGCGTGCGTGCGTGCGTGCGTGCGTGCGTGCGTGTGTGTGTTTCAGAGTCGCACACAGCACTATTTCAGCTGTATTTCGGCTGTATTTCATACAATATGTATCTGTCTACCCGGTACTGGTTACATCATATTTTATGTCATCAAATCGTCTACGGAGTGACCGGACTGTAGAGGTCGCAGTATAATAGTCCGAGTCATTTGTTCGGTGTGTGTGTGTGTGTGTGTGTGTGTGTGTGTGTGTGTGTGTGTGTGTGTGTGTGTGTGTGTGTGTGTGTCTGTGTGTGTGTCTGTGTGCCTGTGTGCCTGTGTCTGTGTCTGTGTCTGTGTTCAAAGTCGCACACAGCACTATTTCAGCTGTGTTTCGGCTTCCTCTAAGTTATCGAGTGGCAAGCAATGAACCAAGTCACCGAGCCTGCCCATCTGATTCCATTACCTGACCTATTACAACACCTAGTCACCAGCTTGACCTTTACAGTTGATAATTTCTTTCTCAAATTATTGCTACAAAGACATTAAAATCAATACAAAGGAAAAGACATGTGTGTACATAGGGTTATGTTACATAGGGCTGCATTACCCTTGCTAATGGAAAGGTTTGTTAAATATTGCTTTATCGCAAAGATATATGCACTGGTAGTAATACAAGAACAAGTCACACTACTAATGAACAATGAATCTCTTCACTTGCACATAGCAGACATAATTCAAAACGTATCGTTTTTAGTTTCAACAAAATCAGCAAATGGACTATCGTGTCAATGGATTTTCTTGAACATCACTTCATCGTCTGGTTTGTTTACAGACCGCCGTCGCATGGCAGTGGTTTTGCTGTGCGGCGTAAGTCAACAAACAAACAATACTTTTTATATAAATTGTAAGGGTGACGGGTGCTTACATAGACATGGGGGCGGTCGGGTAGCCTAGTGGTTACAGCGTTCGCTCGTCACGCCGAAGACCCGGGTTCGAATCCCGACATGGGTACAATGTGTGAAGCCCATTTCTGGTGTCCCCCGCCGTGATATTGCTGGAAAATTGCTAAAATAGGCGTAAAACCATACTCACTCACTCACTTACCTAGACATGTTTACCCTTTCCGCAAACACCTGGTGTGATCCCTGATTTTCATTGATCATTTTCATATAATTTCGTTATTTCGCTATTTTTGCAATGGAATCTGTTTCGGTGGGTTATCTAGACTGATTATTCTGTGGCGTTGACGTCTTATACTGTCGTTTACTGGCTGTCTCTATAGATGGGAACGAGGACTTACAAACACTTAGTACCTACACTCTCTGCACCATAAACTAGCCGCAAAAGAAACTAATTTCCTTCTTGATGCAAGGACATGGGTGGCCCAGTCGTCTAAGGCACCAGAACGCTATGATCGTGAGTTCGATTCCCGGTTCGCCCTGATTATGTTTTTAGGTTTGTCAGCACCATACCCGTACTCGTGGGTTTCACCGAAATGGAAAAAGGTCTAAGACCTGCTTCACTTCGGGCTTAGCTCCTTCATAAAGATGGCACGCCGTGATACCTGGAATACTGTCAGACTCACTCACTCACTCAATCACTCAATCACTCAACCACTCACTCACTCACTCACTCACTCACTCTTAATGCAATTGACATTTCAAAACACAATGTCTAAATAAATTGCGAAAGCCATCGTTATTAAATTTTCTAATTGATGTTCCTAGTAAGTCTTACCATGATATGCTGTATTTTGTCAACAGACAAGAAAAATTCTATATTTAAATCAAAACGGTCAAATACAATCTTTAATCATATGATCCACTTTAATTATCAGGTAAACTTGGCTTCACTTTTTTCAAATAGCACAGCCATCTCTGGTCTGAAGCATAGTTTATTTCATAGCTGACACAACAGGAAGAGTGAGCGTGGAGGCGTAGCTTGATACAGCCCCAGGCCTAGGCCGCACCCCATCTGCTGAAGTGCCTACATCAGTCCATTCCGTTTGTTGCACAAATCAAAATATGGTAAAGCTCCGGCGGCAATAACATAGAAAAGGATCTTCGGCTAATTCCCCATACATAATTGTTACACTGTATGACAATCGTTAGGCAGCATATTATTTCTGTTTATACAGGTAGAATAATGGGGCCAAAATTAGATTTATCTTCGTCAAGTGATACTTCAAAAGAGATATATCTTTGCTAATTGCGTTAATGACATGCACACCAAGATTGTAGTGTTGTTGATCAACACGACATCTGCTCGTTCTATATGTTTCTGTAACGTATGTACAATGTACAATGTCTGTCTGCTGTAGCGGTGTTGTCCAACACGACATCTCCTTGATCTATATGTTTCTGTAACGTATGTACAATGTACAATGTCTGTCTGCTGTAGCGGGGTTGTCCAACACGACATCTCCTTGATCTATATGTTTCTGTAACGTATGTACAATGTACAATGTCTGTCTGCTGTAGCGGTGTTGTCCAACACGACATCTCCTTGATCTATATGTTTCTGTAACGTATGTACAATGTACAATGTCTGTCTGCTGTAGCGGTGTTGTCCAACACGACATCTCCTTGATCTATATGTTTCTGTAACGTATGTACAATGTACAATGTCTGTCTGCTGTAGCGGTGTTGTCCAACACGACATCTCCTTGATCTATATGTTTCTGTAACGTATGTACAATGTACAATGTCTGTCTGCTGTAGCGGTGTTGTCCAACACGACATCTCCTTGATCTATATGTTTCTGTAACGTATGTACAATGTAAAATGTCTGTCTGCTGTAGCGGTGTTGTCCAACACGACATCTCCTTGATCTATATATGTTTCTGTAACGTATGTACAATGTACAATGTCTGTCTGCTGTAGCGGGGTTGTCCAACACGACATCTCCTTGATCTATATGTTTCTGTAACGTATGTACAATGTACAATGTCTGTTTGCTGTAGCGGGGTTGTCCAACACGACATCTCCTTGATCTATATGTTTCTGTAACGTATGTACAATGTACAATGTCTGTCTGCTGTAGCGGTGTTGTCCAACACGACATCTCCTTGATCTATATGTTTCTGTAACGTATGTACAATGTAC